TTGGGTATTTCATTACATTTGCAGATAAGGCTAGTGCTCCATTAATAATGATGCAACATTAGTCAAATTACACTCACACAATCAGGAGAATGTTGGAATCTAAGGACTAAGTCATAGGTTAGATAGGGCCGTCCATTTCTCCTTTAACACTTTTTTTTTATAAAGTACGAGTTCAGAATTTCTTATGGTTTTCTTTATATAACCAAACGTATACAGTTTCAATATCGATATTTGTGTTGGAACAGTTTGGTTCCTGGTAAACAAAACACAACGAAAATGTATTGTCCTTACCCACAGCTAATTCTCAACAAATGACCTGAGTTACAATAAACTAGTGATGAGCATAACGGAGTTATGCCCCCTTTTCTTTGCATGTGTGTAACCACTGTGCCGCCTTTTGACGTAATACAGAAAAATCAGTTTTCGTCATTTACGGCATGCTATTTTGGTATTGAATGTATGTCGTTATACATACGCATATAACTCTATTTGACATGTAGTTATGTCGTTCAGATATTAGGCAGTATTTTGTTCGCCCACAGTTTCCGTACAGCTTCTAAATAAAAAAAACGTCGCACAGTATTTTTATCGGTGTTCAATAAAAAGCGGAGAAATTTATTGCTTTTCCTCGCAGAATAAATTCTCGGACAACACTTAGAAGTGTCTTTTTTTAAAACCGGTTCATTATTTGCAGTTAAATTTACACCATCAAATAGGAAATTTAATATTCCCTACCTCTGCATAATTTTATAGCCAAAGGTAGATCCAGTGCCGCGTGAGCGCAATTCTCGCACAACCTTCACTTTTCCGATCTTAGGAAAATGTACGTTAGAAAAAAACTCGGCATCCAGAGGCTTAACCCTCATGGTGCCTGGACGTCCGTCAGCCTGCATACCGCTCAGAGTGAGTGAGTGAGTTGGGTTTAACGCCGCTTTTAACAGTATTCCAGTTATATCGCGGCGTATCAGCTTAATGTGGGAGGAAAGCTCGAAGTGATGCAAGTCTCAGACGTTTACTACTTCGGTGAAACCCACGAGCACGGGTATGGTGCTGACAAACCTAGAAACATAATCGGGGCGAACCGGGATTCGAACCCACAATCCTAGGTTTCTGGCGTGCCCAAGGGACGCAACTCTGCACAGCGAATCGCGGCACCTTAGACGACTGGGCCACCCGTGCCCCCCATACCGCTCAGAGCCGCACTGTGATGACGCCGCGGTTTCAAAAACGTATACATTGTATCAAAAGTGTTACAACGTCTTTATTTCTTCACACAGTGTAACCAAGTTGTATAACATGCAACTCGAGTTGATTGTCTTTCCATCAGTATCTAAAGTCACCAAATCCAAAAGATCCATGCACTGCCTAGCCATCGATAAATGTGCCAGTATTATAGGTTTCCTACTTTTCTACATAATCGTTATATGTAAGCACCCGAATATGGCAACCAAAGTCAAGTAAGCGCGCTTGTTTGAAATCGAAATGTCCAATAATTCATATCATTGGCAAATACATGTCCTAACAGTGATAGACATATGACATTTATGTTGAAGTACACATTCACTGAGAATTTTTCATGAGTTAAATTTACCGATAAAAAATCCCGATGAAATTGTGCGTGTTTTGACGTCAAAACAAAATTGACGTAAGTGGTCGTGATTAATTCATACGCAAACTGTTTCAAAGATGATGTCACAATACGAATGACAGTTTGGAATGTATATCTTGAAGAAATCCCGGTTACATCCATGTATGTTTCAATGACCGTGCTCTTTTATTAGTGATTAAAAACAACTTCGGGGTAATTGACATCGTACATTTTCAAAGGACAAAATGTGAAAGATCGCTAAACAGGCCTAACAATACTCAAATTGACATCGCTCAATATCGGACATCATTATTATTTCTTAATAATTAACAAGATTATACTAACGTAATGCCGCCCAAGAGTAAGTACATGTAGAAGCAATCAAAATTGTTGAAACGTTTTCATGGGCAGCAAATCTATTCAACAAACCTATTTTCGATCACTCGCAACTCGGGCGCCATATGTAATTGCTTCGTTGTGCAATCAGACAGACCGCTTATTGATGCTTCGGGTGTCATGATGTGTTGTTAATGATTTAAATCTAACTTATATAAAGCTTGAAACGAGATGTAATTGGCAATTTATATACTTGAATTTGAAAGCTCAAGAAAAGTAGAGTAGGCTATATTTAATACAAGGAAACGATAACTTGCACAGTACAGGTGGAAGAAGGCAATATTATTGTTTTACGGTACAATTATAAATAATATCTAGATTAAGTGAAAGGGAAAATTACAAAAATATGAATTACTTCCTTTAAAGTAGTGTTCAATGTATATACAGTTCATGTACTCAAAACTCTGAACAAATTTGTTTCACTATGACCACGAGAAAACATACATCCTTGTCTCAGCTAGTATTCCGCACTTGGCTGCCTTACTCAGATCTTTGCTAAAAAAATACCTGTATGGCCAGTCCATGAAATACAACTTTTTCTTTCACATTGTTTTATAAATACGACTTTAGAAGTGTATTTACACCTAGGAATGCACATGTACATTAAAGGACATACGTGATAGATTATTTCCAGTAGCTTCCAATTCCATCCCATTCTACTTAAGGAACAGTTTGAAATTGATAATGATCGTAGGTCAGTGAAAGTAATGGACTTATTTGTCATTAAAGGAAAAATATATTCTTGGTATTGAACTTTAACCAGCAAAATCTTTAATATAAATGGTATTCAGTGCTTCCTTTTTTTCTTAATTTTGGCCTAGCTAAACTACAACTTGGAGGGAAGATATACAAATTAAAATGGTGAAAAAGAACCACAAGAATGCTTTGATTTTGCTCTTAGACAAATATTATTTTTTTTAAATTTCTATTTCATAGTAAGGATACGAAACAAAGTTATTACTAGTATGTCACTGATCGAGGTATTTGGTAATCTAAATAATTCAGGGTAAAAAAACATAAATAAAACTCTATAACACATCAAAACGAAATCACATTTACACTGAAATAATTTTGTCTTTCAGAAATAGAATCTATATATTTTGAGTAGCTCTAATTACTTTTACTGTTATGGTTATAAATTGAACCATTCGAGATTCTTATAGATGAAACTAAAATATTAAAAATCTAGGTTGTTTAATATTGGATCCATTTTGACAGCTTTCTCACTGTAAAACATTCCATTCCCTTATTCAACTAAATGCACATTATTTTCTTGGAATATCAAGCCTTCAAACACATATGAAAGGCACATGTCACAACATACCAAAATTAGAAAACTGCGTCAAATATTCTAACACTGTTAGTCAAATGATAAGCGGCCTCATTCACTCGTCGGTCGCCGTGGACATTTTCCAATCGTGATGTACTAGCTATGCTTTCTAGTTCAGTTAAAGAGAATATTGTTTTTCGGAAAATGAAACCACGTGTATCCATTATACTACCACAACATTAGATCAGCTGTTTCATGTGACGTCATCCACGTCACAACACGCGAGGTCAAAGCACGCGCACCTGTCCAGACGACAAATTCACAGCAGCGGGAAATCACCGACCGTCTCTTAGCCTATTCGAATAAAATTGCAGATTGTAACGAAATAAAATAAAGTTTACTCATTGCTGACATTTCAGATAACATATCAAATAAGAATTGAAGACATGTAATACATTATCATACCTTAATCAAGATTACAGTGTACATCAATAATTTGTAAATCTAATATTAATATTAGATCTAATATCCATGGCAAAATGTTGAAAATTCGAGCTGTCGTGTTATGATATATTCCATTTTCTGAAGAGATTAGTATTGTGTATTTGATGATATATATGCATACACAATTTGTTATCAGTTATCTTGTACAATCACAGCATGTACCATGTACATTAGACTCATGGAAAATACTATAACAGCAAACCAATCACAGCGCCATTATCACAGTTTCAATGAAAGGAAAAACAAATCGAAATCGAACTTTACAGCACATCGTATCCATAAGCGGTTAACCCAAATAGAAAAAGGTATTGCTGTCATCATTGTAGAAGTTATGTTGATGTTTTCAGTAGTTGTATTATGTTTGTATCCATATCCATATATTTGAATATTTTCTGTAAATCAGGACCATAAAATGAATGACAATCTGCGCTCTCGTTTCGTTTCTAGCGCCGTGCTAAATCGACGTGACACATAACATATGCAATCCTTGAACCAAAAACTTCAGTGGCGGACTAAACGTTAGGACTCTTACGCCAATAACTGTACAGTGGGGAAAAGTAAATCTTTCTGACCAGTCCGATCAGATTTCTTTTTCAAATTGGCTGTCTGATATAATGATAGTTACGTGTATGCGACATAGGTGCATAATAACAAATTGCCTTCATTCGCATGAAGTTCAACATGGCCATTACCGATAGTCGATAAAAATATACAAAACGTGTAAATAAACTTGTTCGTAAATGAGTGAACAGAAATTTATTTACGTGAATAAGTACACACTTGTGAGAAACATGTCTTTCTGACCACTCTGGTCATATTATTTCTTATTAACAAGGATTTTGTCTGAAAATATTTACGTGTATGTGACATGGGTGCATAATGGGTGCCGAGAAGCGCGGTAGCCACTTTACTAATCTCTCCATATTTCGCAATCCGTAGCATTGTATAAAATATGACTTGCACGATGTTAAAGCTAAGATGATTGGGGTGATGATGGTTATAATGTTGACTTTGTGCACTCTGTGTTTGATATCTTAATTCACGGTTTAAAAAGGGCATTTTCGTGGGACCATGTATGGTCCCCTGGCACTATGCGGGTGTGAAAAGTGAAGGACCATATATGGTCCCGTGGCACCAAGAGGGTTAAGAGAGGACCATGCGTACAATACATCTGCACTAGAAGCTGACCACATAAATCATAAAAACTTTTAATTAATAAGGCCATGAACGTCTTGTACATACCACTAAACGACACTGGTAGACTCAGGCTACACGGAGAATAGACCAGCTCTGACTGTGACAAGACTGGGACTTCAAGCACACACGTGTTGTCCTCAAAACACATCTTGATGTTCAGGTCAATCACCAGCTTCTGGGAGGCAGGGATGTGCTCAAGTTTGTATCTGTGGCGACATTTGATAAGCTGTTCTACATTATTTGTGGATGGTAAGTTTGTATGCAATTAAATATTTTTCTTTGTTCAGTGTACGTAAGAATCATCATACATCTCTGAAGAATTCTAAGAGATTTATGAAATTATGCGACAATATAACCATTGAATATTGATGTAGAAAGTATTTGACGTGGATAGGAGAAGAATGACAGTTTTGAAAGTACAGGTTACAGTTGAATGATTGATTAATAATTACTGGTTAAAAATTGAACAATAACAGGAAACCGTGTATATATATATATATATATACATATATATATATATATATATATATATATATATATACATAGAGAGAGAGAGAGAGAGAGAGAGAGAGAGAGAGAGAGAGATTTGAATACACTTTCCTTATATCATTTTGCAACTCTGAGTTTCACGCACCCATGGTATTGCGTACATTCATCAGGCAAAATGAAACAGGGTTTTTAGTTTGACCCTTTCTTTTTTGCTCGGCTTGGGGGTTTACCATGGCGACAGGTGGAAATGAGCTCGCTTCTTTTGTTTAGCTTGTTAGATGTTAGCATGAGAATCTCGAGCTTCTCTTCCATGCATAGGTTGCAAATCCCTGAGTCTCTTTTGTTGGTGTTTGATTTCTTGATTATGTCCCATTTAATTTTGTAATTGGTTTTGTTTCTTTTCAACTTCCAGATGTGTTTGGAGAGTTCTGTCTCTTTTTCGTATTTCTGAATTCTGAATGATTTTGTGTGGTTGTTATACCTTGTCTTGAAGGGACCGCTTGAAATGATTTATGCTCTACTTTGGATTGAGCACTCTCTTCTGCAATTGGATCATACTTGCCTGATGATCCTACGCAATACCATGGGTGCGTGAAACTCAGAGTTGCAAAATGATATAAGGAAAGTGTATCCAAATCTCTATATATATATCTATATCTATACTCACACGCAAAAGAAACGCAAGTGGTTTTAAGCATATAGGTAACAAACACGGAACCATAAAATTGATACGAGTTTTAGCATATAGTGAAGCCTGATGGTGTTATCAATATTTTTGGTTGCATTTTGGAAGCCCCGAGTAAAAACGCAACATAAAAAACGAATCGTCAAAACGCACCATTTCAATGAATATGTGTGTATCATGCACCCATATCTCGCAAAATCGAAAATGCACAAACTGTCACGAAGTGTAGTGGGTAGAAAACTGTGGCCGATTCTTGGACCTACCACTCCTTGGTCAACAATGCCACGCCTAACTCAAATTCAGAGAAACCAGGCTATCGGACGTTTGGAAGCTGGAGAGTCTGTCCAAGATGTTGCCCGTCATTTCAACGTTAACATAACCACAATTTACCGTCTCCTGCATCGATACAATGCTACACAGACCACAGATGACCTTCCTCGGAGCGGTCGTCCTAGGGTCACCACACCTCGACAAGATCGGCAGATTACCCGTCAACACCAGCGACATCCGTTTCTAACTGCAAGTGAAAGTGCTCGTCAGACCATAGGAACACATAATCGACACATAAGCCGGGACACTGTGATCCGACGTCTCCGTTCCAACAACCTCAGATGTCGCCGACCAGCAACTCGTCCTGTTATCCAACCACGGCATCGACAAGCACGACTTCAGTGGGCACAGGGTCATCACAATTGGCGTCATCGTGAGTGGAGGCGTGTCATCTTCTCTGATGAAAGTCGCTTTTGTGTCTCCCATGCAGACGGAAGAATCAGAATTTGGCGGCGTCGAGGTGATCGTTTTGCTGACAGAAACGTTGTGGAAAGGGATCCATGGGGTGGACGTAGCGTCATGATATGGGCAGGGATTGGACTTAATGCGAGACTTGGACCCATGTGCTTTCTGAATGTTGGTCAAGATCGGGGACACGGCGTCACTGCTCAGCGGTATATCATCCAAGTGATCAGACCCAACGTTGTTCCATTTTTTGCAAAACATCAACAACACATTTTCCAGCAGGACAACGCTCGTCCCCATGTTGCCAGAGCTACAAAGGCCTTTCTGCAACAACACAACATCCGTGTTCTACCGTGGCCAGCCCTCAGCCCTGATCTGAACCCCATCGAACACTTGTTGGATGAGGTTCAAAGGCGTCTGCACAAAGTCCCTACAACTGCCGATGAACTACGCACAGCTGCTCTGGGTGTGTGCAGGAGGATCCCTAGGGCCTTCACAAATCGTCTGATCCACTCAATGTACAGGAGATGTGTGGCAGTGATCAATGCTAATGGTGGTCACACCAGGTATTGACTGACATTTTGGGTATTGACCCGAAACTGTGTAAGCCCTTAACATTTGAAAAAATCCACTAAACTGTCTTAAGTCAATTTTTTGTCAATCTTACCCTATTAGAATTTCTTGTCTTTACTGTTGAAAGTAAATAACATGTATACTGCATACTCGACTTGCGTTTTCTTTTGCGTTTGAGTACGCGAAGCCGTGGTGTTATGTTGTTAAATGATTCCTCAAGAAGTACGTATTATAGTTTGTATCAAAGATCTGTGCAAGTTACAGGAGTATTATGGCCCCAAAGCACGGATGTCTGAGTCTATATGTATCGCAGCAGTTTCAGTAAAATGAACAAACTAGTATCTGATACTTACACCAGCCGTGTCATATCTCCCAGGATGAAATGTCCTTCTGTGCCTGGAATAGAACGGGAAGTATATTGAATACACAAAGAAGAAATTGGAATTTAGCGCTGCTCTGATAGGTATTTCAGGTTCATATGGATAAACTCGAACAACGTTTAGATGAACAAACGGCCTACGTGAACATGAACATTGTAAAGATAACGTAACCACTCTCCTCAACACACGTCTCGAATAAATAATGGCAAAATAGGGAAATAATGAGAGCACGCCGAGTAGGATCGATAAAAGAAGGTGAAGCCCCGCCACCTTATTGTCAAGTTTGCATATTCTGATGACAAGATTCAGGCACTCAGTCACTGCCAGACATTTCGTCAAGAGAACATTGGCATCTCAAACAATCTGACAAATAGTCAAAGACCGACTATTGCAGAAATGCGAAGTCGAGGTTTATTTGCATTTTTCAGGAACGGCCGCCTCCAGATGAAACCACTGAATACAGGTGATAAAAGGAAAATACTGACTGCAGCAAGAAGATCTAGGTAAATAAGACGGAACACAGCCGGACCCAAGCAATAACGTGGAGGAGACGGAACAACCTCCACTCAGCAGTACCGGTGACGCTTATGAATAGTGGTGCGGCCCTGGTTCAGAGAAGCCTCCTGCACCAATTCTTAAGACTTCTTTAATAGATGAGCATTTACTTACACAATATCTTAAAGTTTTAACCTGGAATATTAATGGCCCATAATCTAAACTTGATGATCTGGATATACTGAAATATTTATCAGAGGTTGACAGTTTGTTTTTACTGGAAACATTTAGTGATAAGTTATTATCAATTACATATTTATCAAAGTATATTCCTGATCTAGCAAATGCCATAAAAAGCCCGTCAAGAACGACTATCAGGCGGTATGTATGTTTTTGTCAAAAAGTCTTTAGATGCCTTGTGCAATCAAATAATGCTTGGTACTGTTAATTCTGTGGCTGTAAGAATAAACAAACGGGTACTGCAAAGGATACTTTCTTGATAGGTATGTATGGATCACCAGAGGGGTCCACATAAAACACATCAAGTGGGGAAAGCATTCATATTGAACTCCATGAATAGTGTCTGGTTGACAACCCAGAAACCTAGCTGACTGTTATTTGATTATCAATGAACACCAGAGTTGGACAAAGTAACAACCCTCCTCAGAATTTATCTGACTTTACCGGTAACTTTTTTCCTGTAGAAGAACCGGTACCACTTAAAATCGCAAATCACATGACAAGATTACCAATAGATTCGGAAGAATATTCATGTTATACTTTTAATCTATATATTCACAACGGTAGAGTGTCTGGGGACCCTGAAGGAGAATTTACCTTTATATCTGAGCAGGGAACGAGTGTGAACGATTATTTTATCCTTTGAGTTGACTCTTTCAAGTTAGTGAAGTCAATGCATGTAAACGGCAGGGTTGAAACGGATCATATGACATTAATAATGTCTCTTGTTCTTCAAGAAAAGTGACCTCAAATTCCTAAGCAACAACATTCAGATATCTACAGAGATGATTACAATATACTTTGAATGTAACACAAGCTCATGTATATAGTGAAAACATCCTCTAAATTATTGTTTGACGCAACAAAGCTAGTAGGTATAAGCATTGTTTACGCCACCGAAAATCTTTTCCAGGTTGTTCTAAAAGCAGCCGACTTTATGAACAATTTACAGACGCTTCTGTCGGCTTTTTCATATTCACTGAAAACAAGCAAAGTACTGAACTCTCAATACTTTAAGACATTTTCTATTCAAAATAGGCGACTATATTGTGTTAAAATAAATAAATATAAGAGCATTTGTAGGCAGACATAGTTAACAGTTATAAGTACTTGGCTAGTTTCTTCTAATTTCAAGATGACAAACTGTATTGCTGATCTAGAAAATTGTGGAAAACGGGCTTTGGTGGAAATAAATATAAATTTAAATAAGATTGGAATGATCGATCCAAAGGGATACCAGTATTTTATAATATTTGACACACAGGTGTTACCAGTTCTTTAATATGGTTCAGAATTATGGGGTTACCGGCGGAATAAACAATTAGAACGAGTTCACATTTCGGCATGTAAAAGTTTATTAAGGGAAAACAAACACCAAATGCTATTGTCTATGATGAAAGTTGTTGATACCGCTTTTAGTCAATGCGCAGGTCCGTAATTTAAATTACTTGTTAACGAGAATGCACGAAAGGCTTATCCCCCCAAAGTATATAAAATTTTAATGTATTTCGACAACATTGGTCATAATACTTGGGTAACATTTGTTCGCAACATTATGTTTAACTATGTAAAGTTCTTTTGCCAGAATTGTAATACTATTCCCAACTATTCAAATGTTAGTTGTGTACAACTCAGGGTGATTTATTAAAACGCCTTTATGTATATTATGCATACAAAAAAGATATGACGTCGTAAACTACATGTTATTTGTTTCATTGTATTATTGGCATTGCATTTCTTGTAGATGGGCCAAAAGGCCTTCAAACAAATAAGCTATTTCTGACTTTGACTCATGTGTCGGCTTCGTGTTGGAAAAAAACCCACAGTGACAAAAATCGTAATTATATAACTTTATAATGGAGTTATATATCTCAGATATGGTTATGTCCTTTCCAGGATCATAATTAGGCTAAACTTGACATTGGAAACCCTGAACAGTGGATTTCGGCAGGTAATGGGCAGAACTCCCAAATGCACAGTGGATTGTAGCGCATTAGACCACTTTCCTACCCTGAACCCATTGTGACAAGGGAATGTACCAGCAAGTGTAAAACTAATTCTGTTGATTGTAGATGTAGCTATTTACCCAATTCATACTCCAGGAGCGACACGGTGTACGATAGTTTTTCTATAGTCATCGTGATCTGAAGGTTGCAAACATCCACATCAAATTTGGCCTGGATGGTCCTCTTGATGAGACGAACATCGACACAACAGTCTACAGTAGAACAGTTGGAGGCCAGGTGACATCGTACTGAGTCTGGTAGGGATGGTACGGCTTGGCCTCTACATTCTGGAAACACAGAAATACACAATTACAAAGACGGTTCTTTTATGCTCATGTACAATGTTGAAGCTTTACATGCATTTTGGTTCAGCTGTTGTGGTAGATTCGGGTTCCAAATTGATTGTATTGCGGTTAAATCTACAGGTTACTTAGCACTAGATTGAAAACACAGTATGTTTATCGCAATTGTACCATGACAAAATAAAACGAACTATTTGGTGTCAACGAAGATATTGATTGAAGCGACATCGGTTGTGTTCAGTGATTTGAATCGTTTTGGAATCTGATTTAAGGAAACATCGATACTAGCCTACAAAAAATGTATAGTGCTGTATATCATCAAACATTAATGTTTATATAATAACACTTTACTCGCAAATTTTGTATGCATTTAAAGTGTGTATTATAGATACTTAGGTAGCAATTTTAGAAAATTGGCACCCTTAAAGAAAATTAAGTATGCCTTGCAAGGTTTAGTTCTACCCAGCACATTGATATTTGATGTCACGTCGTTCATTGTGACGCAAAGAATATGACGTCAGAGACGGATTTAGAAATGCGCCAAATTTCAAGCTCACTATCGTCCCAAAAACTGTCGTCGCCCAGCACCAGAGAATCCAGTTCAAGATGGAAACAGAAACGAATCAACGCCTTCCTACAGAAGATGGACAAAGAACATCTGTGGCTGCAAGCCAACACACATAGACCAGTACACCCACTACAACTCCTGTCACCATGAAGCCATCAAGATATGACAAGCCATCATCCGACAGGCAAAATCCATTTGCCATCAGTTCACTTCAACAACAGTCTCCAAAACCTTCAACAAGACCCTCAAGAGCTCCGAGCCCAGACCCAAACCTTCCCAATCGAATCACCAACCATGGGCCCGTCAGTCATCACTTTTCCCGCATCATAAAGAGCAATGTCAACATAGATGTCACCTTTACCAGCAACAAGACCATTAAGACACATTAACGAGCCAATGGCCGAGGCACCACCAGCAAAGATATCCTGCAACTGTGACCACCAATATATTAGAGAAGCCCATGGACCTCTCAACACCAGACTAAAACCTCAAAGCACACCAAACCTCTGTCAACAAACTAGACCAGAAATCAGCAATTTCCGAACACATGATCAAGAACCAAGACCATTAAATCAGGTGGAAAGCTACCAACAACAGGCGTCAAGGGAAACCACAAGTGGCATCAGGAGAACCGTGATCAGGGAACACATCTGATATTCTCAAAATTCTCACGTCGATTATCTGTACCTTTTCTCCCAATACCGATTGTCATATCTCTCCTACTTTTGAATGCGATCATTTGACCATTGCGTTCATCTGCTTTGCCCAGCTATATCTATGGGGAAAAACTCACAAGACACTTCCCGCTCAAAAATAACGTCGTCCAATTTACGTCATCAATTTGCGAGCGCATGTTCGAATTCCCGGAAATCACGTCATGACAGAACAATGTTTTATCCTGAAATGAACCATGGTTCGTTCTTCATTTTACTTTTCTAATTTTCGCATAGCTCTCTGCATCCTGCATTCAGCTGATGCAGGAGTAAGCATGTACTCAGAAACGTTGTATTCCTCATTATAAAGAAGCTGACACCCCAAAAATCTTACTCTCATGTTAGAATTTCCAGAAACCGATTCTTCTTCTTCACATTTACAGCATGTTTGAGTTTATGAAGGGCGTAGTAGGCAAAAGAGTTCAACTGACCGTTGTGTCCATTACGTTTATAAAAAATCTAGGTATTTAAAGTCGTTTAAACCATTCACAAGCAGTAGATCCCAATAATTCTAACAGGATGACGATTTAGTCCTTCATCAGTTATGTTGAAATCATCAACAAATTTCTTCTTCTACTTCCCCCCTCCCCCACAAACAAGATGCGAACCAACATTTAATAAGAGACAGAACGGAACAACGTCAGTCCGCCTAAATACACTTGCCATTATTCCAGTTGTTTATCCCAGCAGGGGAATATGGACTTGCTGACTGGTCACAGGCTGGACCCAGGAGGTACTGAGACACCCCGAGATCACCCAGGAGCTGAGATATCAGAGTATCCGTGAGAGAAGACACGGTGGAGGACAGCCCCTTGCCTGATGCCCAGTTGGACAATGAGAAATCTGAAAAAAACACATGGTCACAGATGGTCCAAATGATGACCTGAGTATGACGAAAAAGCAAAATGACATTTTGCGGACCCGGGTGCAAGGTTACTACCTGGAGTCTCACACAATATATGAACATGATTCAACGAAATTCAACACAGATCACAAGCATTGACCTATTAAAACAACTGATTCCACAATTGCGATGTACAACAGGCCTGCAAACTTGCCTGAGACATCAAACTAACACAATGTGAAGCTTTTCGACTATAATGAACATACATATTTTCTTGCCTGCTTATTATTGCTAGGTAAATCAAGAAATGTGCGCTTGTTCTGATTTTTGTGTGGATAGTTTCCATGTGACAAACTGGAAGTGATAAGTTGCTAATTGACAAGTCTCTCCAAAAGGATTTTTACATTGACACATGACGAGTCGGCAATGGAAATACGTTGCTCGTCACGATCATGAAGGTCAAGCTACACAAAATAATTGACTGTTTATTTTAACCGTCTGATATTGAATACCTGAACATGTGCCTGCCCATTAAGGCCTTTGGAGAACTGAAGAAAAGGAATGTCGATTTGGTACTTACGAAAATCATGATGTGATGAAAAATGATACATAGGAATCAGAAAAAAGATGACACATATTTATTCAAGCCTTACTTCTCCGTTTCAGCATGGCCTCCCAGTCACACAGGGGTTGTGGTGTCTTGACTTTGTCAAGGAAGGTTTTGGAGAACAGACACTCGTTCTGTTTCAGACACACACTGACAGCTGCTGTCACCTCTATTTTTTTCTCAGACTGCAGTCGGTTGATTGAGTAACTGAAACATCATAGTATCCTAAATGCATCTATATGTACGTAAACGTTACACCTTTGGTGCATGCATGTAGAGTAGATTAACATTGTATGTGTTTTTGTTGTATTTTACTTAATCCTTGTTTTTTAAATCAACAAAGGCGACATCAACACTTACTCTACTCGAATGACACCTTTCACATATAAATGCTCCTCTGTCCCTGTAAACAAAATGAAAGTATGTAAATATGCTCACATTTGTTTCAGCACATTTGTTTCATCACTAGGGAAACCTCGTTCAATAATAGGGGCGGTCGGGTAGCCTAGTGGTTAAAGCGTTCGCTCGTCACGCCGAAGGCCCGGGTTCGATTCCCGACATGGGTACAATGTGTGAAGCCCATTTCTGGTGTCCCCCGCCGTGATATTGCTGAAATATTGCTAAAAGCGGCGTAAAACCATACTCACTCACTCACTCGTTCAATAATATAAAACGTTCAGACTAAAGTTGATACATAATTTACACTCGAAGACGAAAGCTCGCTTTCAAAGGTTGTAAGAACAATCTCCTAGCCGCGTCACACCAAAAGATGGTGGTTATTGTTACCCTGCCTTGTGCTCGGCATTAAGGGGCTGAAACAAGGACTAGTCGTCTCGGAGTCAGTATGCTGTGTCTGAATAAGGTATCCACTATAAACTCAACATAAGTCCGGACTAGCAAGTGCAAGCAGCCACGCACACACGCACACACGCACACACACGCACACGCACACACACACACACACGTGCATGCATTTCGTTAAAAAATCCCATTTGACGTATGTCATATCAGATCATCATAATGTATCCATTATTACATGAATCACAAAACAATATGACACAATTTCCAGATTTAAAAAAACCCCACCAAAACATGTTAAGCCATACCCCACTGATAATCAAACAGCATTCGTTTGTAGACCAGATTTTCCACGCCCACTGTCAGCTGATAGGTGCACAAATCAACTGTCAGGAAAACGTTGAAGGCACGTGACAGGAAGTCGATGTAGATGCAGCAGTCAACGGCGGTGCAGATGTCAGGCACGTGACATGCCATGGAACCAGGGAGTTCTGGGAGGTTCTGGTCAAGCCCAGGAACTGGACACTCTGAGAATTGTATTGGAAACCATTACCATTAATAAGCCTCCAACTGTTTAGTTGGGTCATTTAGGAAATTTTACAACTATTGAAAATGTTTGAAATTATAAATTTAATCTATTATTGATATCAGTTTTGGATGCTATATAAGATATAATAAGATGCTATCTATAATACTTTTTTCAACAAATGAATGTCGTAAGAATATTGGTTTCTGTTTTTCATACCGGGTCAGCATAACCTAATATTCCGGGTCTTACCGTTGTTCCATCCAGTGACAGTAGGCACATAAGGGCTGCTTGTATTTTGACACTGTGGTGTCTTCAGATACCCTGCTATTTCCAGCCTCTCAAATAGTTTGGCTGCCATGACTGAAGTGAGACTCTCTGATCCAGTGGACTTCATCTCAGACAAGAAGTCAGACAGAGAGAAATCTAGGAGGAAAGATGTATTATCATGAATATCCATATTGGAACTGAAGATTATTGAGGAGTGCCATTACATGTTTCATTGATCCAGGAAATACAAACAAACGAGAACTACGTGGAATTTCAATAAGAAACCGTATTTGATGTCATAACACAACAGCCAATTGATTTAAAATATATTTCAACATGTTGATGAAAAGCTTTGGTTAAAATACCATGATAATTACATATTTTCAATGAGCCTTACAATGATATTGAAAAACACATTGCAATCATTATAATATTCGGCCTCACTTGAGAAAATAGTTCTCACAAGTGTAGCAATTGTAGCAATTGTAATTTAGTCCTCACAGTCCTACGTCTGAATGAAAAGTCAGGATACATTGTTAATCATCCAGCAAGCATTATCAAACCTGCAAGAGCTGCTGTACTGTCCCAGTCACAGACCAATTTGGGAATCTTGACGTCCTTCAGAGCAGAGAAGGAAATCAGACACGAATCCTCCTCAAAACAGACACTGATGTTGAGGTTCATCAGGAACTTCTTTTCCCCGAACAGATCATCGATCATGAATCTACAAAACAAAAAAACAAGTGTAGCAATAAATTATGTCCTTAAACAGTGAACCTCGAAAGTCAAGAACACCTCTGATTTGAAATTTTGGCCGTATTATTACACCTCCGACAAATATTAAGGTTTCTTAAAATAATAGTAAATTAGCAATTTTATATCAATGCTTACTCTACACGGATTACGTCCTTCAAGTTGAAGTGTTCCACAGTCCCTGTAACAGAAACACCAGTTATTTAAGACATCTCCACATGTCGATTTAATAACTCGGCGATATACTGTTACTTCCTGCTTCTGGATACTAGAATATCCTATTTCCAAACTTATGTCTATTTCGGGATATATTTTTATCATTCACAAATGGCAAAATGACATCTTGCTCACCCCATTTGTAGCTTGACAAGGCCCTGGTGAAGACGAGCTTCTCTATGCCCATGGTGAAGGTGTAGGTGCAAGGGTCTATTCCTATCTGGACGTTGAAGGATCTCCCGATAAAGTCCACGTCAATACAACACTGTATGGAGCCACACGGGTCTGACAGATGACAGGTGACGGAGTCTGGTAGTGTGGGCAGGGTGAGACTGGCAGGGCAGTCTGAAAATATAAAACACAGTGAGTGTGTGTTATCACTCTTTGTCAGTATCAATGTCTAAAGGTGGCGTTTTTATTCAAAGGAGGAAATCAATAATCGCCCCGTCACGTTTGTGTCAGTGAGTGGATTTGTAAAACACAACGATGATTACATGATCCCAAAACGATGTTTAATGTTTATTTTACAAAAGTTCATCATTGAAACAGCTTACCCTTCTTCCAACCCCCAACTGCTCCAGCATAGGGGGGCAGGCTCTTGTTACACTGGGGGTCACTCAGGTAGCCTGTGAGACCAAGTCTGTCCAGAAGTTTGGACACAGCTAGGCCGGCCAATTTCTTGCCAGATGGGAGCTTCAAATTAGATAGCCAGCTCTTCAAAGAAAAGCCTATAAATGTAAGATGTGAAAGACATGCGATAATTTTGTAATATTCATGAACATGCGATAATTTTGTCATATTCATGAAAAAATTTAAGGACACAGCCATATGTAACTGTATATGCCACATCATGTAACATCTGTATACTTCAGTTACGTAACAATGTAGTCTAAATATATGTATGAAGGGTTATTCAACCTATACGTTAATCTGGTTGATTGGCACGTTAAAGTCCTGAGTTCGATTTCCTACATAGATAGTCCATAAGATGATCACAAAACTGAATCTAGTCATACAAGTTGTTTGTGTCCTACCGTTGCCAGTCGAGGAGAAAGGGTTGTCCCAGTTCCACACCAGTTTAGGGAAGCTGATATCTGTGAAGACAGGTAGGCTGAGAGCACAAGGCTGGTCTGCCTCAAAGCACAGCGATAGTTTCAGACTCATCAGATACTTCCAAGCATGAACAAGGTCGTCAATCTTGAAACTGAAGAGATGAGGTGTACACACTATTGCAACTCGAACATATGCACAAGCTTGTGGTATTGCTGGACGATTGTATGCACATAACTGTAAGGTGTTTTATCTTCATTAATTGACTTTACTGCGTTAACAAAGTGGTTATCAACGGCCGAAACACATGGTCATCCCCATGTACACACAAGAGACCGTAAGACTGTGATACAATGCGAGTTGAGATAGCACTAGGATCGTTTTGAGGAACGTAGGTCCAAGGTATTATATTCTATTTGATGGTTTAACCAGACCTAAACATTATGCAAGCACTTGCATACTACACATACATGTACAAACTTTATGCTAAATAACAGATAGGGCAGATCTTGACACAAACATGGACCACGCTGCATGTAACCCTGACGTGGTATCCGAGTAACATCAACTGTCATGGCAGTACTGTCAGAATTTCCTTGTTAAACAAAATGCTCAATATGTACCTTATGAAAGATTTTGCATTCATTTTCAGGATCGCATCATGTGTTTCATCTACTGTGTGGAGTCACCTGACTTCATGTCAAGCTGAAGTGTAAAACTTAGTTCCCCATAAAAAATGTAATAAATGTACAGTTTTTGCACAATTAATAATTGAACTCACCTCAATCTAACGACGCCATTAAGGTTGAAATTTTCCCATTTACCTGAAAATCATAAGCAAAGTGTTGACTTACTCGTAAATTTAAAAAAAGTGTGTATTATATGACATATATGTCTCTGTCAGTAAAACTGTGTACAAAGTATGTTCCTATACATACACTGCTATTCAAAATATACCTCATACATCTGCATGATGTTCATGTTGATGCAAAGAGACTTACCCCATTTGTAGTTGAACAGTGATATCTGAACGGTGAGTTTCTCGATACCGACGGTCAGGACAAGGTTCCGTGGGTCCAGGAGGATCTTGAAGTTGAAGGACATCCCCAGACTGACCACATCCACACAACAGTCCAGTCCAGTGCAGTAGTCGGGTATGTGACATGACAGGCTGTCCGGTAGGGTTGGGAGGGTCATTGGTTTTGGACATGCTGAAATGCCATAGAATACCCGATTATCCGATTAAAGCAAATGCCCAAGTGTATTATATGCAGTACATAAGCTGATTTCTTGACATGTTTTGAAATGCTAAACAACAGAGGTTCCTACTCGTACGTATAGTAGCATCGGTATTTCTCTTCATGTGAGTAATTGGATGAGAATAATAATTTGCAAGGCTCCTGTACATGCGTTCTGGAGCCATTTACCATTATTCCACCCTGTAGCGTCCGCCTTGTATATCCCCCTCTGTCTGTCACACATTGGGTCCAGGAGGTACTCAGAGATGCCCAGGGCCAGAGACAGCTGGAACCGGAATGCTGAGGTCAAGACTTGACCAATGTTCAGATTGGTTTTGCTCAGCCAGTTCTTCAGGGAGAAACCTGTGCATAATAAGATAGTACTAGTGTACATGCATAACCACCATATCATGTTAATGTAGAATATACAATAACAAACTGGATACAGTGAGTTTACGGTAGAAATCTGCATTTACCATTAGATTTGGATGTAAGCCACAGTGGTGTCTTCTTATATTATCGTATCGGATCTAATCATATATTGAATTACATGCTTAAGCAAAATAATTATCATTACTGTAGGCCATGGGAATGTCTTCTAGGGTCTAGTCAACTGATACACTGAGAAAATCAAACCAGGTTTATCATTAATGTAGGCAATGGTCATGCCTCTTTTTGTTATTGTTTCTCGAGTACTAGTCTATTGTTACATAGGGATACTCAAACCAAACGGAGTTATTTACTACACGATACTCAATGCACGATGCGTTGGATATTCCTTTCCACAATGTAGTTCTTATGTTAACTGTTGTAATACCCAATGTCCACTGACTTACCTTTTAGGGACAGTGTTGAGTTCCAGTCGCATCCAGGGTTTGGGAATCTGGCTTGGTTTAACACAGGTAGGGTCACCAGACACTTCCCTCCAGCCTCAAAGCAGGCACTGATGTTAAGACTGACAAGGAATTGTTTCTCTCCCTCGAGGTTGTCGATGGTGAAACTGAACAATTACAATTTCGGGGTTGTCCAAACTTTTGAAACACAATGTACTTTGATAACAGTAAGTGATGACTCACAATCAGCACTTAATTTAAGACTGATTAGGTTAGAATAGGCAGGTTTACTCCCGGCCGTATTCGATCATCTTCCCGAGGCAAAAGAGTTAACTGACTCTAAAAGTCCAGTTTCCGACTTTTGTAGTCAGTTAACTCTCTTGCCTCGGTATGTATTCGATAAGCAGTAACTTACTTCAACGTTATATAAATATTTGAATAACTTACCCTGCTCGGAATATTCCCTTCAGATTGAACGATTCAGGTGTTCCTGAAGAAAGACAAAGGAAAGTACTTATTTGAAAAGTATATAATGGCACATTGACCGTTCCTAATAACAAGAGAATATTGGTTGTTCTGTCACCAAGGCTTATAATAACGTATACATCATTTTGTGAAATACATCACATTCTGCCTACCCCATGGGTAGTCCAAGAGCAGTCTGCTAAACTCCAGTTTCTCTATGGCCAGTGTGAGGGTCATCTTGCACATGTCCAGGTCGACCTTGAAATGGACATTCCGACTGATGAGAGGCACACTGAGACAACAGTCTATTCCTGTACAGTGGTCGTGGAGACTGCAGGACACAGAGTCTGGTAGTGTTGGGAGTGAAACCTGTTTTGGGCAGTCTGTAACAAAACGCGAGTTAGGAATAAATATCACTTCATTTCACTGCATAACTGTTTCCGGCCAAAGGCTTCCACAATAGCAATGACAGTTGGCCTACCGGATGATGAATTAAGATCTATACATAGACCTTCAGAGTGGCAAAATAAATATCCCCAAGATTGAATGACAAGAGAGATGTATTCAACGTTCCGATTGTTTACTGTTAGACACTATTCAAGCAGCTCCAGCCTTTCACACTTTTACAATCAAGTTTGCTCTTTCTTCGAAGATTGCAAAGAGATCATCCGAATATTGCTCAAAAATTGTTAAGTCAAGGTTATACCATAAAAGACTGACGTAAAATTTAAAGAGTGGAGGACATTTCCAAATTTGTACGCATCAATGGTCAAAATTAAGTCGATGCAATTTCCCATTTTGACTAACACATGTTCCCGTGCATGATTGTTCAGGTGACCATTGGACTTGCCTTTGCACGTGTTTGTTATGGGTGCTACATCTGGCATCAATGATACAATGATATTGATTTTATAATGCCTTTATTGCGCCTTTAACAAATATTTCTTTATGTGTTTATAAAAGGTGTTGTTGCTTTTATTTTTTATTTGTTTTGTTTTGTTTAATGTTCTAAAATATGTGATTTTTCTTAAAAAGTCTCCTGACCTGAGTTCCAACCATTTGCGCCTCGCCCATCCATGGAGCATGGAGGTTCCAGAACGTAGTCTGAAAGACCCAGAGTGTCCAACAGCTTGTCTACCAGGGCGTCTGTCAGTCTGTCCGCCAATGCAGCGCCTTCTGATGTCACAAACTCACTCAGGGAGAAATCTGAAGCAAAGAAACATCACATTCTTATATAAGTTCGTGTCTTTACTTACAGCTGACATGTTCTAGCACGTAGTCATACTATTCTAATAAGGATATTTCTATGATTACAAATGACAGGATTGAGAAACACTATATAATCATGTCCTTCAATGTATAAATTACTTCATTCTTATACATACAAATAATAATCAATGTTATACACAAGGACTGCGCTGGAAGGTTAGGCCCACATCAATCCAGCAATATGAGACATAAATATATAGGCTACCAATGGTACACTTACTTTGTAGCTGTTTGGTGGCCTCCCAGTCACAGAATGGTTTAGGTAGGATCATGTCTGTGAACACAGGGAAGGTAAACTGACACTCCTCTCCAGCAGTCAGACACACCTTAAGGCTCAGGTTCACCAGGTACTTCTTCTGACCCGAGTTGATGGTATATCTGAAATGTAAATCTTTCTATCAGAACTGTAAATAGTTCTTACAACTCACACTATAGTACAATCAACTTTCTAGACTACCATTAAACATGACAATGGAAAGTTGATTCAGATCTAAACCCAAACATTCTTGCCAGCATCAGGTGTGTATCCCTTTCAATATCACTTATTCAAACTGATTATATGTTAACTGTAAATTAACATCTGAAATACTTACTCAAGTCTGACAAGTCCTCCAAGATCAATAACTTCTGTTTCACCTTAGAATGATAAAATATTAATTAATCAATACCAAGGCAGTCATGAACTCGCCTGTACAATTTACAGGTGTATATTTGGCATTTATTTTAATGAAACCCAAATTTTCCCAAAATAATGCGGGCTACCATTTCAGATGAATTAGAATTTGATGCGATCATTCCCGATGTTTATCTTTTTAAAATATTTTGCAATAGTCCATTTCACCTGGAGTTACCAGAAAAAGGATGGAATGTGTGCTAAAGTTTGACAAGAACTATTCGACAAGTTGTCATTTTGCCTGCTTTGGATAGTGAACTGATTTTGAGTATCTTTTGTAACAGTGTAAAATGTACCCGTCTGCAGTTATCAATGTACAACTTACACCACGTATAGTTAAATCGGTGTCCCACTTACCCCCTGTATAGCAAAAAAGTATACAACGTACCCCATGAATAGTTAACCAGTGCACAACTTACCCCAAGTATAGTTAAACAGCATACAACTTACTCCCAGTATAGTTAAACAGTGTACAACTTACCCCATGTATAGTTAAGCAGTGTACAAATTACCCCACGTGTAGTAAAACAGTGTACAACTTTCCCCATGTATAGTTAAACAGTGAACAACCTACCCCATGTACAGTTAAACAGTGTACCACTTACCCCATGTATAGTTAAACAGTGTACAACTTACACCACGTGTAGTAACACAGTGTACAACTTACCCAATGTATAGTTAAACAGCATACAACTTACTCCCAGTATAGTTAAACAGTGTACAACTTACCCCATGTATAGTTAAGCAGTGTACAAATTACCCCACGTGTAGTAAAACAGTATACAACCTACCCCATGTATAGTAAAACAGTGTACAACGTACCCCATATATAGTTAAATAGAGTACAACTTACCCATTTATTAGTAAAACAGTGTACAACTTACCCCACATATAGTTAAACAGTATACAACCTACCCCACATATAGTTAAACAGTGTACAACGTACCCCACATATAGTTAAACAGTGTACAACCTACCCCATGTATAGTTAAACAGTGTACAACTTACACCACGTGTAGTAACACAGTGTACAACTTACCCAATGTATAGTTAAACAGCATACAACTTACTCCCAGTATAGTTAAACAGTGTACAACTTACCCCATGTATAGTTAAGCAGTGTACAAATTACCCCACGTGTAGTAAAACAGTATACAACCTACCCCATGTATAGTAAAACAGTGTACAACGTACCCCATATATAGTTAAATAGAGTACAACTTACCCATTTATTAGTAAAACAGTGTACAACTTACCCCACATATAGTTAAACAGTATACAACCTACCCCACATATAGTTAAACAGTGTACAACGTACCCCACATATAGTTAAACAGTGTACAACCTACCCCATGTATAGTAAAACAGTGTACCACTTACCCCACATATAGTTAAACAGTGTACAACTTAACCCACATCTAGTTAAACAGTGTACAACCTACCCCATGTATAGTTAAACAGTGTACAACTTACCCCATGTATAGTTAAACAGTGTACAACTTACCCCATGTATAGTTACACAGTGTACAATTTTACCCAATGTATAGTTAAACAGTGTACAACTTACCCCATGTATAGTTAAGCAGTGTACAAATTACCCCACGTGTAGTAAAACAGTATACAACCTACCCCATGTATAGTAAAACAGTGTACAACTTACCCCACGTGTAGTAAAACAGTGTACAACGTACCCCATATATAGTTAAATAGAGTACAACTTACCCATTTATTAGTAAAACAGTGTACAACTTACCCCACATATAGTTAAACAGTATACAACCTACCCCATGTATAGTAAAACAGTGTACAACTTACCTCACATATAGTTAAACAGTATACAACCTACCCCACATATAGTTAAACAGTGTACAACGTACCCGTCATATAGTTAAACAGTGTACAACCTACCCCATGTATAGTAAAACAGTGTACCACTTACCCCACATATAGTTAAACAGTGTACAACTTAACCCACATCTAGTTAAACAGTGTACAACCTACCCCATGTATAGTTAAACATTGTACAACTTACCCCATGTATAGTTACACAGTGTACAATTTTACCCAATGTATAGCTAAACAGTGTACAACTTACCACATGTATAGTTAAATTGAGTACAACTTTACCACATGTATATTTAAATTGTGTACAACTTACCCCATGTTTAGGTAAACACTGTACAACTTACCCCATGTATAGTTAAACAGTGTACAACTTACCGCATGTACAGTTAAACAGTGTACAACTTGCCCCATGTTTAGGTAAACACTGTACAACTTACCCCATGTATAGTTAAACAGTGTACAACTTTCCCCATGTATAGTTCAACAGCGTACAACTTACCCCATGTATAGTTAAACAGTGTACAACTTACCCCATGTATAGTTAAACAGTGTACAATTTACGCCATGTATAGTTAAACAGTGTACAACTTACCCCATGTATAGTTAAACAGTGTATGACTGAACTCCAGCTTCTCAATACCGACTCTTAGGTTGTAGTTACAGGAGTCCAGGAAGAGGTGGGCATTGAAGTTCCGTTTGACCTGTGAGGCTTTGACACAACACGTGACCCCGGTACAGTAGTCGGTCACGTGACAGAAGAGATTGGGAGGCAGAGCTTGCAGGGTGATGTTTTCAGGACAAGCTGCAAATGTTCAACAAATCTACAGTCATTATACCATATGCATTGACACTCAACGTACACTGTCAAACAGTCAAAATTAATTAGATACATTCTTGCTTGATTAAATCAACGGTCGGCCATGCTGATACCCCCTCTATCTAGGCCTACACTGTACATGTAAGTATACAAAAGGTACATGCAGGTTTTTTTTCTAAAACATTCAGGATTATATTTTATGATAGCATGTTCATTTAATAGAATATAGATACAGTTGTTCAGTACAATTTCAGGACAAATTTAAACTTCGGTTTCAATGCTGTTAAAGTTACAAAGTTTATTTATTCATGTATGCATCTCAACAGTTACCCAAAACCTATGCGTCTATAAAGCAATTATAACAGCAAACATTGACCAATAAAGCTTTCTCTAAATTAAACATCCCACCCATGTTTGTAAAATAGAATCCACAGACGATGACGATGACAAACAAAATACTTATGAGCCATCAGCTACATCACAACATTTACTCAGTGGGACACCTACCATTGTTCCATCCTCCCACAGCGCCCCTGTACGGTTCCAGGTAGTCCTGACACGGTCTGTCCAGTAGGAACTGTTTGATACCGAGCTCTTCCAGCAGGACTGCTGACAGCTGAGCTGTGATCTCACTACCCTTTTCCCTTAGCCACTCACTCAGAGAGAAATCTGAGATAAGAAATGGACATGGTTCCAGACAAATTAATATTCAATACAATAACTCATATTTGAGATCTGTGGATTGACTGTTAACAAACAACATCCGATGTTTTAGTGAGTGAGTATGGTTTTACGTCGATTTTAGCAATGTTCCAGCAATATCACGGTGGGGGACACCAGAAATTAGCTTCACACATTGTACACGTGTAGGGAATCGAACCCGGGTCTTCGGCGTGACGAGCGAACGCTCAAACCACTAGGCTACCCCACCGCCCTTCCGATGTTTAAGATCAAAATAAGTGTAACTTAGTGGGCTACATGTGACTACTTTATGACAGTTTCCTTAAGTGAGTTGGGGTCACGGGTGGCCCAGTCGTCTAAGGTGCCGCGATTCGCTGTGCAGAGTTGCGCCCCTTGGGCACGCCAGAAACCTAGGATTGTGGGTTCGAATCCCGGTTCGCCCTGATTATGTTTCTAGGTTTGTCAGCACCATACCCGTGCTCGTGGGTTTCACCGAAGTGGTAACGTCTGAGACTTTGGGCTTTCCTCCCACATTAAGCTGACACGCCGCGATATAACTGGAATACTGTTAAAAGCGGCGTAAAACCAAACTTACTCACTCACTTTAAGTGAGTTAGTTAATCTTAATGTTCGATGTTAAATGTATATATCGCAACGTCGCCATATGCCGACAGGTTTGCCTTACTTTGTAGTTTGAATCCCTGGAACTTGGCACACCCTGGCATGGGAAGTCGTGTCTGATCCAGCACCTTCAGATCCAGCTCACAGTCATCTCCCTCGAGACACAGACTCGCAGACAGATCAACTATAAACACTTGCTGGGACAGAAGCCGGTCAATCTTGAACCTGTGAAATAACACACCGATAGACAGAACAGTGGACCATCTGTGGGAATTCAGAAATTGTCGAATGCATCAAAGGTGTAGCTCTAATAAGCATTGATGCATGGACAGATGTTCGGCCTTCAATGTTTGGTTTTCTAAATCAAACTCATGGGACAATTTAACAGTGTTTGTTTGCTTGTCTCTTGAAACCCGAGTCGATACCAGACAATCATCCAAATCACCGACCTAACCATCCGGCCATTGAGTATTTTCACACTTCCATGGCATTTGATTAGCTACCAAAGTAATGTGTTTTATGTTTTGTGCTTCCATAAACCTTCCAAAATTATATCACCCCTCCAGCGGATTACTGTTTTCTGATCGCTTGATGACAGAGTGGGCGGGGTTTATTCTTCTTAACGATGTCGTACATTCTCTATAATTTGTGCACTTGATTAAATAAGCTGTAAAGTTATTATAAGAATTGACTACCGGTTTCTACATTATTTTTATATCTCCCTAAACGCAAAATGTTGGAGTCAATTATTAATTGAAACGTTTAACTTCATGCACCTGAAGGTACATGTATCCAGCTTTAGTCAGATTATATACATGTGTATTATTGGATTTGTTGTCTGAGCCAAGATAAGTTGAATGTTCATGTTTGCAAGGCATTAAAAAGCCAAGAACATGTAATGATGGCAAAAGTATAAGATGAAACACAAGCTTGTCAACACTTACCTCAGTTTGAGAAGAGGAACACCATCGAATGTGCGTACTTCTTCTTTTCCTGAAACAAGATTTGACTATGTACTGTACAAACCGAAAAAAGTTAACGTCAAAAACGCAGAAAACAACATGATGCATCTCCTCTTTCTTCTTTCGTAAACTTTCATCTTGTATTTTCTGTAAAGTAATCTTATTAGAAATTGTTTCACATAAGACATACCCCAGATATATTTCAGAATGTTGTGCTTAAAGCTGAACTTCTCAATGGCGCCTTCAATAAGGTAGTTACAGAGGTCAATGTTGAAGGACGTGTGAAGAGACAGGTCAAGGACGTTGCTATGGAGACAACAGTCTATTCCCAGACACTTGTCATTGATGTGGCAGTTGGCGGGGAGAGTTATTGCTGGGAGTGTGATAGCGCTTCCGCCCAAGTCACAATCTGAAATAAGGATGAAGGTGATGATAATACTTTAAAGAGAAGCCATGATCCCAGATACAGGTCTTGCCCTGTTGAGTAATTTGTGTCAAATTGAGTGTCTGTGTGTGATTAGGGTAATGATTAATTTCTTGATTGGTATTCATCACAACATTATATTTTTACAGACAAACAAAAGGGAGTTTGAATAACATGACCCAAATTTGTTTGAAATGCCAATTAATGCCACGTGATCCCCACCCTCTCATTATCACTATAACAAAGTGTAAATCACGCATCATTTTAAACATAACTAAATCGTGTAATGTAATGCTGTTGAAACATGTTATTTATAGTGTGTAAAAATAAGGTTACATAGTCAGTGTGCCCTATTTTTGTGATGAAAGCGACTAATGATAATGACCATTCTTCCAGTTGCCCGCATCAGCTGGCTGGTACTTGAGACTACTGCGGTTACAGGGTGGATCCAGCATCTTGTCCTTGATACCCAGCTGTTCCAACAGAAGGTTCACAGCTGTCCGTGCCAGACCCTTGGTCAAGTCCTGTCCCCTGGCCTTGGCCCAGTCTGATATACTGAAGTCTGGAGAATACAACATTATAGGTAGGTAGGTAGATAGGTGGAAGTGTGAATTGGGGTATGGGTGGATAGGTAGGTAGATTTAATGGAACACTGTCACACCAATTACATAACTTGCCATTCACCTTGCAATCATCCCAACACCAAACGCCCCATACCTTTATCTTAAAACAGTTAAGCCTCTGAAAATTACAACAATTTGTTGCAAATACTACAGGGAGATCCTCCAACCTAGATATTTTGTCATTGAATGTCAAACTAAACTGAGCGGGTAGCTATATGTTACTGTAAGGACCCACTCAAGTTACATGTACCTATGCAGCTTTAGTGCATACATTTCAAAGTTCAAAACAACATTATTTGTTCAGAGTTGGTCAGATACATTATGAAGTTCTGTGGTATCCAGATTCCGTACGGGGGCACAATAAACAAGATCTGGCTTACTCTTTAGATTCCACCTGGCATCAAGGTCGCAGACAAGCTGTGGAACTTCGGTTCCCTTCATAATAGGCGTGGAGAAGAGGCAGGAATCCTTCTCCAAGCACACCTCGATGTCAAGATCAAGGAGCAGAACCTTGTCTTTCTTCTTCAAACCAAATCTATGTTAATGAAAATGATAAACTTTTTAATCGTATGGCAGATGTTAAAACTTTTATTTACACCCAATCTCATTTCTACTTTTCCCCTTATTACACCATAAAAGAACATTACTGAGGCTCATATTACCAGCAAGATCAACTTACTTGATCTGGAAGACTTTGACGATGTCCAGCATCATTGACGTACCTGGAGATAACGATTATGAGCTTACAGAAACAAAATAAGGCACGTCTGTTTTGTAATGTAAGTACATAGAATTGCAGTATATTCTTGAAAACCAGTACTATCTGGATCAGTCTGATACTTCAAAAGTGATTTTTTTCCTTGTGATTGGAGTGAATGAGCTAAATAAACCTCGCTACTACTTTTGACTTTTATCCGCATCAAATACAGAGCAGTATCTTAGCCGAAAACAGGCCACGTACCAGCATCAAGGTCAATATCATCCCCTAACATTCCTATGGTGGTGGTTTTGTTCTCGATGGCAGCATAAATGACGTAGTCGCACATATCGACGTTCAGGACGGCGTTGAAGGACATCGCAAGAAAGGGGACGTGGAAACAGCAGTTTATCTTGGTGCACGTGTCCGCTAGGTGGCAGTACAGATCTGTTGGAAGCTTGGGCAGCTTGCCAATACTCTTGGGGCATTCTGAAGCACAACGTGTAATTCATTCCCTGGTTGGTACTAATCTGTGTATGAAGATATCATGTTTTTCGTTGTTATTCAGAGAGTTACATTCGACTGGAAACTTCTGGTCGTCAATTGAGGGCCGTTGATTCAATCATCTAAACCTATGTTACAAGATTATCTGCACGCAGAACTGCGAAATTGTCTCAGAGTGAGTGAGTGAGTGAGTGAGTGAGTATTGTCTTACGCTGATTTGAGCAATATTCCGGCAATATCACAGCGGGGGCACCAGATATAGGCTTCACACATTGTACTTAATTGGGAATCGAACCCGAGTCTTCTACGTTACGAGCTAACACTTTAATAATTAGGTTACCCCACCGAAACGAAATTGATTCGTGTTTGGAAAATTAAACTTTTTATACCATTCCTCCAGCCGTCAACACTGGGGCTGTATGGTGGTCTAGACACATCGCATCTCTGGTCCAGCAGGTACTCGGAGATGCCGAACTTGTCCAGTAGCATCCTGGCAGCTGCCTGGGAGAGGGACTTCAGGTTGATGTCAAGGTCAAGGTCGCGCAGCCAATCAGAAACTGAGAAATCTACAACGATAGGCAACACTCCCCTTTTAACCATGAGAACTAATTTTCAACGAAAATAACTTTCATAGCTTTTCATTAACGTGAATCTTGTCCCTACAAACCTCTTACATGCGAACCGGAACATGAAAAATACAGTTTGCAATATTTAGAAACACTGTTTAAGTAATAAAAGTTACAGTTCCTATGAAGAGGGTACAATTGAATAAAAATGGATAAAAATGGAGTAACACAGTGTCACATTTACTGTTTAAAGTTAGGCATTCTGTTTAGCAGATTGATCAGAACAACGTGTCAGTGAATGTAAACCAGCAGTTCTGTGCTAAAGTGGACCTACTTTGCTTTGTGAACTCGACCAGCGCATTAGCATCACAGGCAGGTATCTTCTCCTGATTCATTAGCGTCATGCCTCCTTCTGGGTAACAGAAGCTGTTACCATCTATAGGGATACACGTGTGGACACTCAGGTCAACGAGGAAACCTTTGGGATACTTCAAGATCGTGAATCTGGAATAGATAAAATACACAGAAGCTGTCACCGTCTATAGGAACACACGTATAGACACTCAGGTCAACGAGAAAACCCTTGGAAAACATATACACAGAAACTGCCACCTTCTATATATGGTGAACGTTTTGTTCAAGTCAAGCCTGGTTATAACGATTTTCTAAATGTGACAAAGGTTACTCACTTGATGATAACTGGAGACGGGTTGCCATCACCTATTTGAAGTTGATTTTCAGTTCCTAGGGAAAAAATAAATGATGCGCAAAATATTAAACATCTATTTAAGAACATTGATAAATACCATTTCGAAATGTATAGTGTATATTTTAAAACTAATGATTGACACATGTAAGTCACATATGTTCATTATTGAATGAATGTCAATAAACTACTCAGGCAAACAAGTCATCGGGAAAGGACACACAATCGGTCAACTAAGATCCCAATATTAGTCAACTGATTAGGTACCCGAGACCATGACTGACTTTGGTGACATAAGCAGAAAATATAATCATGAACAGATTATGCCCGTAGTTATCAGCTGAAATCACACGGATGCCTTCACACACAGATATGGCACGAGATACGTCAGGCATGTATTCAGAAAACATAATCATTTACACACATTGATAACTTAGAACGGTACACAAAAGAAGAAGAAAAAAAGGTATTCCAATTACATGTCAACAGTCAAGCGACCTACCCCAGTTGTATGTCAACAGCCAAACGACTTACCCCAGTTTCATGTCAACAGTCAAACGACCTACCCCAGTTGTATGTCAACAGCCAAACGACTTACCCAAGTTTCATGTCAACAGTCAAACGACTTACCCCAGTTACATGTCAACAGTCAAACGACTTACCCCAGTTGTATGTCAACAGTCAAACAACTTACCCCTGTTTTCTGCCAACAGTCAAATGACTTACCCCAGTTACATGTCAACAGTCAAACGACTTACCCCAGTTATATGTCAACAGTGGAACGACCTACCCCAGTTGTATGTCAACAGCCAAACGACTTACCCCAGTTGTATGTCAACAGTGAAACGACCTACCCCAGTTGTATGTCAACAGTGAAACGACCTACCCCCGTTTTATGTTATAGTCAAACGACTTACCCCAGTTGTATGTCAACAGTCTTTCCTTATGGTAGTAGCTCCCAAAGCCGACCTCAACAGTGAAGTTACACGGTTCAAACTTCAGGAAGAAGGGGGCGTGCTTGACGAGGGGGGTCTCAAACAGCGGGATGTCGAAGGAGAAGCCCACACAACAGTCTACACCGAAACAGTTGTCCGGCAGTTTACAGTTGACGTTGTCCCGGAAACTGGCGGGTAGGAGCTTCTTGTAGTCTGGGAGGGACCAAGGGCAGTCTGAGGAAAACAGACAGTTTGAGGTCATTATGCCAAGTTAAAGTATATTTGAATACAAAATTTAGAACTTTTAAACTAAACATGTTAGTTAAATATTGAAGTTATAATGTCTACACAACCACTGCACTTATGTAGGTCATATAATATTTGTGTGCGAGTATGGCGATTTTGTTATATGTCGTTAAATGTGCATATAAAGACTGGACCTGAACAATGACATTACATCGCCTTAAACCACTTATCATATACTGAACAACAAAAGTTCCTGTGACATTGAATAAGATTTAATGCAAAGTTATGTTTTTTACCAAATCTGAAACAGTTTCGTTTTGCAACAGATAAAAGTGTTCAAATGGTTTAATTTGCCATACTGACTTCAGAAAATGCGTGATTTCATAAAAAAACATGAACATGCCAAAATGTCAATTTACAAATCGATAGAGTGTGTGTCCACCTCTGGTTGCGATGCAAGCAACACATCGTCGTCTCATGGAATGGGCCAGGCGACAAACAAAGTCCTGTGGGGTATCTGTCCATATCTGCTGGAGCATGTTTCGAAGTTCCTTGAGTGTCTATGGAACACGTAGTTGACTTCGAAGGCGCCGATCCATCTCATCCCACATGTGCTCGATTGGTAAGAGATCAGGGGAGCGAGTCGGCCGGGGGATGACATTCACATTGTTTTGCTGAAGAGAATCTTGAACAAGTCGAGCAATATGAGGCCGGGCGTTGTCATGTTGATAGGTAATGCCTGGACCATGACGACGCAAAAACAGTAGAACAGATGATCTCGTCGCGGTAGGGCTGTCCATTGAGATTACCCTCTACCACTATCAAACGGGTCCTCTGTCTTGCTGTAATCCCATCCCATAACATAACGCAGCCGCCCCAGAACCGATACACAATGATTGACGTAACGTTCACGACGCCGGTACACTCGAATCCGTCCATCGCTGTGGCTGAGGTGAAAACGAGACTCGTCAGTGAATAGAACTTGTCACCACTGCATGGCCGTCCATCGTAGACTCTGTCTGCACCACTGTAGACGTGCTTGACGGTGGTTTCCTGTCAAAATGGGACGTATGGCGGGTCTTCTGGCGACAATCCCTGCACATCTGAGGCGGCGACGTATGGTTTGTGAAGATATTCGTCGACGGCCAGGGATACTTCTTGCAGTCACTGTTGCTGGCTGGAATCGATTTCGTAGGTGTCTTGTTCGAATCCAGTTGTCTTGTCGATTATTGGTTACACGTGGCCTGCCACTCCGAGGATGGTCTCTGACTGCATTCGTCTGTTGCCAACGTTGCCATAAAAACCAAATAGTGTTTCTGTGGACGTAACATTGTCTTGCAACATCAAGTTGACTCGATCCTGCTTCAAGCATACCAATGGCTCGCAGACGCTCATTTTCGCAGACGCGTGGCATTTCGTAGTTTTGAATAATTGCGTAATTTTGTCGTTTTTCTGAGTGGTTGTTGTCAGCACGATGCTTAACAATGCATTTGGAATCCCGTTAACGCACATGTTTTTATACCTATTCTTGGGTAGTGAAATACATTGGGTTTGCATAAAAGTCAACTTTTGCATGGAAAGCATGCTTTTCTGTAGCAGCTGCGTTTTTGTGACTTGATTCCATACATGTACTACAATATTGAAAACCAAACTTTACTTGTTTGAAAAATACACCAAAATTTGGTGTCACAGGATCTTTTGTTGTTGAGTATATGTATAGTTTATGAAGATCCAGGTAAAGCATCACTACATTTTACAACACGTGTGGATAAAGAAATGTATGGACAAATAAGGTTGGTTTTGAACCATGCACGTGTGAGAGGTAAGCAAACGCTCGATTTAAGAACAATATAAAGACAATCAGAACCATCAACTATTTGTGGTATGTTAAGACGTGAATTTGTGGGCTTGGAATTTATGGAACTTTGTTTTGTGCTCATTACTTTGTCTAAAGTAACCATATTTTACTGTTCAGATCCACCACATATGCAATACAAATGATTGTCTGTGTATCTTTTATTGTATCAAATACAAACATAAAATGAAGTAGTAGCTGTTTATCTCCCAGGCTGAGCTGTTAAATTACCTTGTTGAGATGTTAATGATGTACAGCTACCGTCTAACAGAACTTTCTGAAATAAACAACAGATAATAAAAAAACATTTGTAATTGAAATACCATGTCCTGGGTGCACATGACACTTATCATAAATGGTTATATATTTTTTATAGTTTCCACGAACGATATTGTAGCAGAGGAAGATATAAAGCTTGTCTAAGTTTTGAATCAATTTCACATTGTGTGCTTGTTGCATGAAACCTAACTTGAGATATAAAACATATTTGTTCTAAAAACTCACATCCAATCCAAGTTTTCGAAACACCACATCTACAACTGCTCTGATTAGTTTTCCTCCCATTTGCTCGGCAAGCTCCTGAAGAGACCCGGTTCCTTAAATCAGACATTATTATAAATAGCTATGCATGTGAAGCTGGCGATGTCACCACTTCATATCGGTGTATTAAACCAAATGATTGGTATTGTTATAGATGCCATGCACGTGATGCATACTAAACTCAGGTTATACAGCGATACTCAATTATCGACCCATTTGAACTCGTTCAACATTGGTTCTTTTTTGCCAAACAGTCTTTGATGGGAAGGTATGCATTCCCAACTATCTGTTTCTGAACAAAGGGTTAATCTGTACAAATGGTTCAGATTATTTTGACTTTGAGAATATAAAACTAATTGATAAAGGTATTTACTGTTTTCGGTACTTACCCGGCAGAGAGAAGTTTTCATCACAAATGGGTATAGGTACATTCAGTTTTTCAATCAACAAGGCATCCAAAATCGGTTCCGATTCTCCAACGCTTATTTGTAGACCCATGTCAACAACAAACACCTTCCTTGCCTCAATTCTGTCAATGGTGTATCTGGAGAAGGTAAGCTCAATGCATTGATTGTGTGAACTAATAATTACTTATATCGTAACTGAACTATTGTTCAACGAAGTCGGGTGTTTTGAAAATACCCATAGTATCTCATACTGTACGTTATTGCGGATCGCGCGTTGCTGTGTGACCTGTTAGATTTGTGCCACCATGACCTGGCGACTTTGCTCATGCAATCAACTGCTGGGTTAGATTGTTCCAATGCGACTATGTTCACACAATCATGATATTATTTACAATTTAATAGTTGTTCATTCTCCGGATTTAAAATGTGTGTAGATGTTTAGAAAAAAACACATTAGCAGTCATACACTTGCAAATATCCACCGATCAGAAGGACAAGGTGGTGAATGAGCAGGTCCATAGATGGTGGGAACGTCGTGATGAGATTGTGTTAGGAACACATCACTTGCCATTATAAATGTCTCCAGACATTCAACCTCACTCACTCACTCACTCACTCACTCATTTTCAACTATAATTTAACAACACCGCTTTCTCAAAGAAAAGTCCTACCTTATGGAAACCCAGTCGTTAACATTCGTGGTCTTCTCTTTCCCTATAAATGGAAAGGTTGGACAGTATTATAGGATACCTGTACATGTGACGTAATCGTGATGTGATGTTGATGCGTTTAAACGTGTGGAACACACTCATACTCACGCTGGTAGGAATATTAATTTGATATTCAAGTTTTGTTGTAATTCATGTAAAAACAGTGACTGCATTGAAGTAGCACTACACTTTGGATTTATTGATCTTGCACAAAATAGAATGAATCATCATTGAATCACTTAAATGGCATAGGCGTGATTCAGAAGTAATATATATTCAATATTCAATTTGATTCAAAGGACTTATGATGGGACAAAGGGTTTAGTTAATATGGAAACAAGGATGATCAAAGACGGCTTAACGAAAGTGATTGTTGCCAATAAACAGATTGCGACATCTCATATAAGTTATAGGTAATGAAGGTTAGAGAAGTGCGCAATGTAATACTATTCATCCAAAAGGAACGTTTATTGGGGTTTCATATTTCATAGTTTCATACATTTTGATAATTGTAATTACGTGTTCTTGATGTTTTACCTGGCACTGAATAACAGTATTGTAATAACAGCGTGACGGTTTATTTATTATTGTTTAACAAGTGGTAGATTTTTATGAGCTCGCACCGAGCCTAACAACCCGATCCGCTAGGACGCCGGTCACGACATGTAATAGAGTGCTGGTGACCACTAATTCACAAATAGTTTTATCTATATACCACCACCTACCCCAGTCGTATCCCAGCAGTATTACTGGCGTAGTGCAGTCCTCAAAGTTGACGGTCATTGTGAATTTACAAGGGTCAAGTTGTATGTAAGCGTTGACGGCCTTGTTGAAATTTAGCTTCTTGATCCTAATGTCAACACACGCATCAAACCGCAGACAGTCCGGGGCTATCTCCATGTAGACGATCTTATCAATCTTCTCGTTTGTTATTGCTGGGAGGGTCACTGTCTTGTTCAGCAATCTGCAAGCTGGATGTTACATAAAACATAAACATTGAGGGGTGATTTGTATTTGAATTGTAAAATTGTTAAAATATACATTTCATTATCATTTTGGTATTACTTCACTGTAACAAAATAAACATTAAACATGGTGAATATTCATATTTCATCTTCCTCAATGAAAACTGTTTTGAATAAACTCAAATAAATCTAGAATCGCAATCTTATAACATCAAAATCATGTATTGCTACTGAACGATATGTTTGTACAAGTGTATTGAATGACTAAACATTGAAACGTACAAGCTCATTTTAGTCAATTCCTAACCCTTACAATAAGACCTACTCTAAGTTACCACAGACTTCAGACGGTAAAATACAGTACTTCTTAAATACGAGATATTTGCAAGAGAACAGTTTCGTGAACCTTCGTGAACACCCTGTGCTAATTGTTAGTTTGTTTGTGTGTTTGTTAACACCACACTTAGCAATATTCTAGTGATATGACTGCGGCTATAACTAATCAAGTTCGGACCATACAATCGTGATTGATACATGAGCATCGATCATTGTAATTGGGATACGATGACATGCATCAACCAAGTCACCATCCTGAATACCCGATCCATTTAGTCCTCACGACAATAATTAGTTGCTGGCGACATGTATTCTTTCCCGAAATCCCCGCGGGTAGTGTTGTGTTACAATTACTGATGGGAGATCGTAATGTTTATTGTGAAAGACGTTATTTACAGTATGAGTGAGTGAGTGAGTTGGGCTTAACGCCGCTTTTAACAGTATTCCAGTTATATCACGGCGTGTCAGCATAATGTGGGAGGAAAACCGGAAGTGATGCAGGTCTCAGACGTTTACCACTTCGGTGAAACTCACGAGCACGGGTATGGTGCTCACAAACCTAGAAACATAATCGGGGCGAACCGGGATTCATCATCGCCGAATTATAGGTTTCTAGCTTGGCAAAGGGACGCAACTCTGCACAGCATATAGCGGCGCCTTAGATGACTGGGCCATCCGTGCCCCCTATTTACTGTATGAATATACAGTAGATAAGTTGTTATAAAGAGAATTTCTCCTTATCATGAACCGCTCACTTTTGTGTCCAACTCTGAGCCTCTGCTCAAGTTCCTGTGTTGTACCCGTGATCTGCAATCCCCGCTGCTGGAGCTTCTCCTTGAGGATATCCCGAGTGAGGGCCTCGGGTCTAGGACAGGGATCTGTCTTGCCTGGAGCCTGGAAATTGCATACTTTCTAATTTGTTTCCACAGTGGAACCTCTTTAACTCATTTAGACCTGGATGGATACAGCTGTTTGGGAGAAGTGGTACACTGATATATAATAATGTCGATTCTGCGGAGACCATAAGTAAATTGTCTTTAAGATGACATAGAGTATATTTAATGAAAATTTCCAAATACTGTCTATTTTATAGGATGACATGGTTGGAACTGATATTGTTACTACATGGCGTAGCCACGAGCGACGATATTTATATATCCAGCTGGTTCGGAGAAAAATAGTGCATATGTTGGAATGGTCCTTCTTACCTTTAACATATGTCCATGTTTTTTGCGTACACATTCATCGTCATCATATTATATTCTGCTGAAAGGTCAGTGGATAAGAGAAATGTGACACTGCTTTTCTATCACAATATTACCACATTTTAGCCATACTCACATTGCGAGATATACACGGGATGAATTCAAGTAGTTCTTCGATGCCCTTCTTAATAGCATCTTTGGCAAACTCTTTGGCACTTTCCCGTATTCGTCTCTTAATTGATTCCTTATCAAACAGACCCCTGTAATCAACTGCCAAAGGAAAGAGCGAATATCAACGTAACATTCCGTGATAATAGGTAACGTAATAGTACAAGACGCGTCCCGATAGAGGAGAGGTTTATTATGGACAGTAGAATATGTTTGCACTCTGTATTTAGTGGTTTGCAACAAAATTAAACAATGTCTTGTTCCTTATTACTACACTGACCTGGAACAGAAACTGTCCTGAACTGATCCATCTTATCCAAGTCTATTCTATGCTACCTTAAAAACAAAAGTCTCTACTCGTTGACCATGAATTAAACAGTATAAAAATACTAGTCTAGTATGTGGCATTTGCCAAACACTGGATATACATCTCATACCTGTGATAAGGGAACTACATTATATCCTGTCACAAAGCGAAATCGAATCTGTATTTCGCGTTAATGGGTCATAGAAATAATCCAGTTCGTGATATTTGGGCTCATTGAGATCTTTCGACACAATTTTTGCAAGGTAATATATTCTAATGGGGGTATTTACCCTCTGGCCAGGTTATTGAGCCATCTGGATGACATATTGGTAGCGGTGTTAGAAACTCGTCCAGGATGTTAAAGAATGCGATGCAGTTGTCGTGGTCATCCTGGGAACAAAAGCCGGCGGCCACTGTGATCAGAGCCGCCGTGTCATCCTTCTCCAGCTTCACTCTGAAGAACAAATACTGGGATGTTGGATCTGAACATCACACCTTGCAGAGGTGAGACATGTATGTCTACACCTGCAATAATTTGATAATAGAACTACTGTTGAGCCTCAAGGTAATTACGCTAGATGCTAGCTACATTAGGGAACAACAGTTATAGCTACTGAAGTGAGCTATATCAGTAATTTAACATTGAAATATCAAGCAATGCCATACATAATGCATGTTAACTGGAAAAGCAATCTGCCAAAACCATGCATGAGTACAATCAACTTTTGGCTTGACTCTACAATTTGAAGATCTTTTCTTTTGCACTGAATTTCAAAGCTCCATAAAAATCCACATAAAGGGAGATACATTGCTGGGTCAAGCAAATATACCACCAAATCCCTGTCTCAAAGATTAACCGTAATCCTTAATACAACCAAGGATATACTTTCTGTATATTCACAGGTGGAATTAATTCCATGTGGTTTCATATTCAATTCTATAAAAAAACATTTGTTTTTTTTCAACTTTTTACACCACTATCCCGCAAGACAAACTTAAGGCTAAACTTCATTCCTTGATCCATGGGGCTTTAGTTACCAAACAAAATATAGACCATAGATACAGTTACATATCTATCAAACCCGTGAAGAAAAGGGGTAGAAAAGGTCTTCAGCAAGCATGCTTGCCGTTAGAGGCGACAAACGGGATCAGGTCGCCAGGCTTGCTAATTGGTTGATGAATGTTGTGTAGATCGATGTTCATGATGTGATCACTGAATTGTCAGGTACAGACTCGATTATTTACATAGGGACGTCATATAGCTGGAATATATCTGAGTAACAACAAACACACATATCCATCTTCAGAGGTTGAGGTCAATTTGTCAAAAAGGAAAGCAAATGCCATCTGAAGTTTACTGAGAAAACAGCATGTGAAATACTGGACTTTCTAACTGACATCTTTTTTGGCAAGAAGTAGGCATTCCCATGAACACCAATTGTGCTCCCCTTCTTGCTGATCTGTTTCCTTATGTATATGAATCAGAATTTCAGGTCGGATTTGCAATGTCAAAACAAAGTAATTTGGCTAAGAAGTTTAACTTACCTTCAGGTTATTGGATGATCTGATATAGTTCAATAACCATTAAAAAGGCCATTCCCTTCCACTGATTTACCTACCTGAACTAGAAATAAAGGAATCCAGTGAGACCACCTCCTCTGTATATTTAGATCTATACATAACGATGCAGAGTGACAAAATACTCTCTACAAGACTATAGGACAAGAGGGATTTCCTATTGTCAAATTTCCCTTTATGTCGAGCAATGTTTCTGCAGCTCCAGCCTTTAGTGTCTACACTTCACACATTGAGGTACAATCGAGCATGCTCTTTCTACCAAGATTTCAAAGAGTGCCATACCATTCTTGAAGTTGTTTGATCAAGGCTGCAACATTCAAGGCCTCAGCAGAGCTTTCAAAACGATTTTATGGTAGACATTTTAAGCTAACTATTGGAAAGTTGACGACATCCGTGTTGCGTTTATGAATTCAACAATCTACAACAACTCTGTTCTGACCAGATCGAAGTAACTCATAAGTTGAATTTGCAATGGGAAGTAAGCTTCATACTTAATGACTAGCTGTATCCCTCCCAATGTATCCAGTTTGACATTTGTCAGAATAGTCTTCTCCAATCCTGTAATAAAAAACGGCCTTTAATGAAACAGAAAGTGAAGAAAACAAGCTATCTATCCAAAACAGGAATTATGTTTCTTTCACTTAAAAATATATCTTTCCATATTGTGATTTACATTAGAAACATCATCTTTTACAGTAACCATAAACTATCTCTGAGCAATCAAATGCTAATCAAATGCTTATCAAATGCAAATCAATATCTGGAAATATTCTTGGAAAGATTTGCATATTTGCAAAATTTCTTGTGGTTTTAGAAGAAAAATCATCAACTCCCAACATTAGCAAACTGTTTCCTTGACACAATGATCTTTAAACAAGTAGGGATCACTCGGAAAAAAACTTACAATTTCCAATATTATAAGATATATTAGTTTCTAGTAATAGTTATAAGATCATAATGAACGAATTGGGAACACATTGCAACCGGAAGAGAAGTATGACAGTTGATGTTATGACTGCCACCGGTCTTTAGGGACGTTAGAGATAAGATAGGAAATTTCAAAGTTTATGGATCAGTAGTGCGTAATTCCGCCACGATTTGTCAATCATTCATTTACTCCACAAGGCATACTGCATATGTTCCTCTCTCAACTGTATCACTCATCTTACAGTCTCTGGACAAGTTCAGCCAACGTAGTCCGCGGTCTTTGGACATCTCTCCATATCATGTCATTGACGGGTTCAATGGGGGAAAGATCAGAGCTCATTGCTGGTCATGGCATTCTGTGGATGTTCGTGCATTGATCCACACCCATTGCAAAAGGTACAACAAATTTTAAAGGCTTTCAGTATGTTGTCCCGATAGTACCGTCGAACGACCCTTCCTTGCACAATATGGAAAGTGGTTCGCTCAGTCAGAGTGATGCAACCCGACACCATAACCAATCCACCGCCATATCAGTCTCAGGTTGACGTTCCTTTCGACGTCGCCAGATACGTCCACGCCTATTATGAATAGGAATGATTCTGAAAACATGACACGTGACCAGCTTCGATTATCCCAGTTTCAAGGTTGTGTTCACGCAGTCGTCTGTTGGCAGTATAACGATTTGTAAGGAACGGTACAACACGTGGCCGTCGAACATGGAGATAATTTCTCAACGTCCGATCCGTACTTCCTACTCCGTAGCCCGATGAAAGTTGGCAACAATTTGATTCCTCGTTTAAGCTCGATTGCGGAGAGCCTGCTTTCGGATCAATCAATCCTGTACTTTTGACGTTGACATGGGACGCACTGAACGGGTCGATCGTCAACATTTGGGATTTTTGCTACCTGTTCCATAGTCTGCTAATCAGAGACTGTGAAACAGTAAACATATTGGCCATGGCTAGCTGACTTCTGCCAGTTTCCAGCATGCAAATAGCCCGTAGACGCTCAGCATCGCTAGTTCATACCCAAACAATTAATGGAATCATGTGAATCACAACTGTATAATAAGCAGAATCGATACGGTTGACAGAAATAATAGTCTACAGAGATTAATCGACCTTCCCTGAAAGTGTCAAAATCAGGAATGACACCCTACGCACGTGCGTGGCGATACGACGCCAAGCACGTGCAAACTATAGGGTGCGTTTTGGATGTTTTACAGATATAAACGTTCTCGCATGGGACATTTGTCGTCAACACTTATCTTTGTTCTAATGCTTGTTTATAACATTTCTATTTCATGAGCCCTTACTGTTTTAAAGATTATATAAAATGTGAACTCCACAAGTGACACCAACCTCCATACATATCCTCAATCCCAAAGGAACTGTTGAACTTCTCAGCACCAACAGAAAATGTCATATCACAGGGGTCAAATCTTGAAAACAAGTTATAAGTTTTTCGGAACACAAAGAGATTGAAATGTACGCAGCATTCCAGTCCAAGACATTTGTCGTCAAATGTACAGTAGATGTTGTTAGGCATGGATATCTTCATGAGAGGACAGGCTACAAAAAACGGGAACGTCGTTACACACAAAAAAAGCATATAATGGAAATGATATTTCACCTTACAAATGTATCATTTATTTAAATTGTTGACCGTTTCTTATGAGGGGTCATAGGTCACGTCTTCAAACATTAAGTCTTTGAAGTGCATTTAGAAGTGATAGACAAAAGGAGGAGAATATCCTTATTCTTTCATCGGGTGAATTAATGCTATGAAGCAGAGTACATAGATTTGTACAGTGATGTCAGAACAAGAAAATTAATAACATAACAAAGGTGGAAACTTAAGTTAAGTTTAAGATCCCTTGTTAAGTTTCCACCATTATTGTCTTATTACATAAGTTGTTCTTACATGTACATTGGAGCTCGATAGTCATATGTTGTCGTTGTACAAAGGCAATGAAAACTGTTCATGGTCATGTCACATGAGGCCACAAGGTTGCGCTGAACTCGGGCAGCAATGACGGCTCTACATCTCCTCGGCACTGGCTGGATAGGTGTATGAATTCTGTCCTGCGAAATTCTGCGCCATTCTGCTTGTAACGCGTTGGCCAGTTGTGGGAGTGTCTGCGGCGTGTTCTGACATTGACATACACGTTAATCGAGTTCATCCCAGTGGTGTTTCGATTGGGTTGAGATCTGGAGATCTCGATGGCCAGGACAAGATGTTGATGTTGGTATCATGAAGGTAGTATACCGTGACACGAGCTGTGTGCGATGGAGCGTTGTCCTGTTTAAACAGCTCCTCCTGGTGGTCATTGATTGGGAGAGGGCTAACTTGAAGAATTTGATTCATGTAGCGATTTGCTGTCAAATTTCCCTGAACCACAACAAAGTCAGATCTCATGGTGTAGGATATGGACCCCCACACCATTAAACTACCGCCACCGAAATTGTCGAATTCACGTACACAAGGTGGGGCAAAACGCTCATTTCGACGACGATAAACACGTTGTCTTCCATCTCGCCGCTGTGGAAGAATCGTGATTCGTCGCTAAACCACACTCGTCTCCAGTTTCTCAAATTCCAAGGCTGTACGGTATGGTAGCGTCGTTGTCGATGGATCGGTTGCAAAACAGGGACGATAAATGGTCTTCTGGGTCGGATTCCGGCCTCGCGAAGATGGTTCCTGACAATCTGGTCCGATATCCTCCTCAAACCAGGGATGCGTCCTGTAGTGTCCGTAGCTGTGGCATTGCGATGACGAAGGTGGAACAGTCGAATATAGCGATCCTGTGCAGGGGTGGTAACTCTCGGTCGGCCGGTTCTCGAACGGTCTACAGTGGAATTGAACCGTTTGTATCGGTCACAAAGGCGGCAAATGTTCCGATCGGCAGCGCTCAGTCTCGGCATTTTTCAACTTGAAAAATGTTGACAATTAAATGACAAATTACTTGCTTATGCTTGCCTTTTTATAGCCACTACCACGAGTTACGAATGCCATAACTTCCACGTGCATTTTGCTTTGCTGTTTTCCTCCATGACATTTTTGAACAAGTGTGGCAAAATCGACAATGGCTGCGTTTTGATGCATTTATGTATTTTCCAATTACATATATCCAATTTATATACCGGATTTTCTGTGTAGTCAGGTCCATACATACTACCTGCGCGTTTCTTTTTTGGAAATGTGTATGTTTTGAGCTTCATAGCATTCATTCACCTGATAAAGGAGTCAGTATATACTCTGAAACTGTTGTGTTCCTACTACAGAAGTTGATATCCATACATTCTCTTCCTCGTGTTTTAATATTGCTTGTCAATAGCTAGTAGTAATTTAGTCAGAATTATCTCGTTAGACAGATCTTAGTAGTGGTTGTTTACACTATATGTCATGTGTACTCACAGTTTGATGGTGTGGTGAGGGAGTTGATCATACATTCCAGAGTCCCCATATCATATCAGTAAGTTATAAGAATGGCATGTGTACTCACAGTTGGATGGCGTGATGAGGGAGTTGATCATATGTTCCCGAGTCCCCACATTATATCAGTAAGCTATAGGAATGTCATGTGTACTCACAGTTTGATGGCGTGGTGAGGGAGTTGATCATATGTTCCCGAGTCCCCACATTAGATCAGTAAGTTATATGAATGGCATGTGTACTCACAGTTGGATGGCGTGGTGAGGGAGTTGACCATATGTTCCCGAGTCCCCACATTATATCAGTAAGTTATAAGAATGGCATGTTTTACTCACAGTTGGATGGCGTGGTGAGGGAGTTGATCATATGTTCCCGAGTCCCCTCTGCCCTCATCCCCCTCTCCGTCAGCTCCGTCCTCAGTTGGTCGTCCGTCATCTGGTACGGGTTGAAACACGGCTTGTTGTCGATCAACTCCTGCCGCACAGAAAAATGTGTACATGATCATAAAATGTGGTCTTAAAGTGTTAGCCCTTGGATAATGTCATGATACAGATTATCGTTAGTGGTTCAAATTACGATTGTTCATATCAATGTTTCACATAAGCCCAAAATAGAAAAAAACAAACAAACCCAATACCTTTATTGTTCTTATGACCTCGACAACCTGCTCCTGACTCTCGTCAAGACCGAGAATCTCAAGAAGATCCATGATAGACCCCATTTTCAGGTTACGGACAGAGAACGTCTTTAGGAAAGTACTAGCCTTCTGGAAAAGGGTTGCCAGAGCTGCAATGGATATTTCGCAATACTAGAATCTAGGTTCATGAATATAGTTCTCATCCACTTGAAAACTCTTTTTATGTAGTTCACAAGCATTTTGTTATGACTGCATTTACATTTTACGTGTATTTCGTGTGTGCTTACAATATTTTACGGCATGAATGTCACAAAGAATACAGCATGTATCCCCACGCTTTTACAAAACGTAACAATGCGTATCGATAGCAAAGGCACCTACGCCCTAACTTGTCAGAGTATCTATTGAAAACACATATACCTTACGGTATACTGTGTGTAGACATTGTAAACCAATACCATCGACATCGTTATGAATACTGTGCAGCAATCTTATGAAACTAGGTAAATGTATAAGTGTTCTCGATTATCCTATTCTGCTCACCGCCATCTTTTGTAATCTTTGCCTTTTCTAGGATCTGTAGCTTTCGAGGCTGCATCTTTTGGAACATAGAATCTGGCTTAACTGAAATTAGAATAAACGTATATAAAACAAAAGCAGGTCAATACATAACCCTTTCCATAATCATTATGAATATATACTGGAAGCAGAATCCATTGTACGAGTTTGACTACTTTATATCATAATCATGTGTTTATGAATCACTGTCAAATAGTCATGAAACCAAGAGTTCGTGTTAAAGTGCAAGGCAAGTTAGGTATTCATCTGAACAAGTTACAAAAAAGCAAATTGCATCTGACATAATTTTGGACACTGATACGTCAAAGTTTGAAATGTATATATGTCTTCCGCAAACGTTTTGAAAGTTTTTTTCTGAGGCATCGGATGCCGTAACCCTGATCAAAGAACGTTGGATAGTTGGAGCTGCTGTAAAACTTTCGACATAAAGGGAAGGTGGACTGTTGGAAAGTTGTTGTCATTTCTCTTCTCATACAGTCCTGTGTTGTCAATATGTTTGCACAGATAAAAAATGTAACAGGTGAGGTGGTTGCACTGGTCGCTTACATTTCTATCTCAGTTGGTTAAATAGGTGTAAGGGAATAAGTTACCTGTCCGTTATTGAACGCTATAAGATCGTCGATGTACCCAAAACTACAGTAATACGTCAAATTTCCGTGTTTGCTTTGCGGATCGAGCAGAAATGCCGTCTCAAATGCATAAAGAAACATATTATCTAGGAAGGGAGCACAAGCGAAGCCCATAGGGATGCCTTCTTCTTACCTACATGTTCCATCCCTAATTTTCACATGGATGTACATTTCTACAGGTGAACAACTAGTTTATTTTAGTTAATAAATCATTTACAGGTTGTATGGTTGAGATATTGTCAGTCAGTCAGTCAGTTTACTTACTCAAACACTGAAGTTGCATGGGTGCAATGATAAACACTAATAGTTTTAAACCGTTTTTCTTATATAGACGTCCCCAAAACAATACAGTGGTAAATAGTTACCTCCGTTCAACGGGTAACTTCTGGTAAATAAAAGCAACAAAATCCTTTCCATATTCATAAGAAATCTCTGCCAAAAACCTAGTGGATTGTAAGATTCGGTCTATATCATGACATGACAAATAGTGACAGCGGGTGTTCGCGAAAAGGTGAGCGTATCCTGCTACAGCAGTGGCGCACGTCACAAAAACACGCAAATACACGGTAACATATGGTACAAGGCAAAATAGACAATTGTATCGAACATAACTTTTGTCACCGTAACGTCAAATTTGGAAATGTCCTCCTCATGTCTACCATAAAACTTTTTAAAAGCTGTACTTGGGCCTTGAATGTTTTAACCCTGATCAAGCTCAAACCTTAAACCTCAAAACAGAAGTTCCCTACCATTTTCTGCGTCGGCGACAGAGAAAGGATCTTTTGGGGAATCAATATCCTCGGGATTTTCAATTTCTTTTCCTTCTCTCTTTGGACTGGTGTTGTTTTTCTTCTTACCATCCAGACATGCAATGCAGCTTCCAGCTATAGTCTTGTCCTGAGCAAGAAATTGGAAATCAGCCACATCTATTCTATTGCCTTTTCTCTGTGATCGGCGTCTTCCTCCCGTATTATCATTTCCCACGCACTTATACATGTATTTGCATCTTTATACCAATTAATAATTGTCTTCTTTGACACAGGATGAGATGAATAGTAAAATGTAAACTGAGCAAGTATACGTACATGTTTATGAGTATATCTTTGTAATAAAATATAGGGCAAAACTTCATTTACCATAAGCATGACCTTTTGGTCGTCACACTCTTGCACCCAAACTGGGAGCTTGGGTAATCTGGGCTCAAGGTAGCGTGTTGGGTCGATGTAGCCGTCCTTCCGTTTCAGGGAGAAGTGGATGTGTTCGTTACCTCTGCACGGAGAGTTGGTCGCAACGCCTATCTTCTGCCCAGCACTCACCTGGAGGAGATGTCCAATTATATTGAAAAATAAAGAACAAACTATACATTTATATTTTAGAAAAATAATCACACGAAGTCTCATATCAGGCAATAGACCTCCCCACCCTCATTTCCCCCTCAATTGCTTATACTTATAATGGGAGAGTCTGGTATGGTTAACGTGGAGGCTCTTCATGATAAAAGTTAATTGTGCACTTTTGCACACATGTATTTTTCTGATGATCCTCCTGTGAAGCATGTCAAGACTGAAAGTATTCCACAATTATCGTAAACGAGCCAAGGATGTAGGACATAATCTCAATGTCAATGTATCACTCTTCATCCTGGATTCCCTGAGTAGGCCCATCTCGGAAGCTTGACTGTCGCCGCTGGGTGAATATATTATGATCACTGTCGTTTGCTATCACCACTGTATTTTTCGTATTTGATTGGAGCCATTGGATATTGTACTACCTCTCTGTTGTGTACCGCCATTGTACTGGCTATGCAGTAATTTGTATTTAATTGTAAACCTCGTGAATTTTGTAATACATGTGATGAATGTATACAACTTGTTGTTTGTTTGTTGTTAATCTCAATGTCAGTGTTGATTTTGTTGAATGTGCAAGTGAAGTGCAATATCAAGTTTTTCAAGGAGAGGCTATCTGAACGACCACTGCATCGAATTTATGTGCAGTGTGTTGAGAAGGTCAGCAACCCGACAGAGTCCTTTGCTTCAATGAAATCGGCTGGCCTGAAAGAGAAACAGAAGGCTTTCTGTTTGTTGCTCAGGACCAGTCACTTCCCACTCGAAACCTTTAATGTGTGCATCAAAATGTAAATATGAAATGTAGATTATGTAATAAATTTAATGAGACTGACCAACACATTGTCAGTTGATGCCGAGCTTTGGCACAAACACAGTATCTTAAGCGACATGATGGAGTGGCTCGATCTTTTTATTACCGTCTTCGCCATGCAGAGGTCCACCGATGGTACGACCCGGAATATGTAGAGGACGTCATGGAAAATGATAAGTACAAAATTCTTTTGAATAGGGCCGTATACAGCCTCAAACGTATCCAGGCAAACAAACCTGATCTTATACTATTTGATAAATCCAATGAAATCATTTATATCATTGAATTGTCTGTACCTTTTGTCACTAATGTGATTGACAAGATTCAGGAAAAACATGGCAGATATGTGGACCTCGCTTTCGAAATGTCCCACTTGCATCCCAAGTTCCAAGTTGTTCGACTCCCTATTGTTCTCGGTGCCTTAGGTTTGGTACCTCCCAATCTGTCGACAGACATTGGGAGAGTACCCGACTTTGCTATCAGGTATATAGGCCTTCTGACAATCTGGGTAATGCAGAAGGCTGCCGTGTTGGGGAGTCTTCACATTCTCCAAACATTTCTGGGTGGGTTCGACTGGGCAGTGCTTCCCATTCGCTGTCTGTGTTGCGTGTTGAGGGGGCAAGGGTCCTGAGCTGATGATGAGCCTAACCAGCCTGGCTGTTCAAGGATATCCCAAATCGTCTTTGCTACATTTTTTAATTTTAATCTGTAAATAATAATAACAGCAATAACAATAAGATTTATAAAGTACCTAACATCCATCAAAGTTGCTCAATGGCATTATTACAAAGAACAGAATATACATATATACATACATACCTGAAAGAATTTTACTGATACACAGCGCTTAAAGTCTCATGGGTATATACAACGTTGCATATTTGGATAGAGTGTGACATGGTTAATGCAAATATCGTATTCAAAACATCGAAAGCGGCACTATTAGCACTTTTTTCCTGTCTATCAATTTGGAACATTGAAACGAAAATAGCTTAGGCGGAGCTTTCCATGTATGGTTTTGTTGGAGGAAATTACCTCCAAAAGTACATGCTCTATCGCACAACAAGCCCGACCCTCCGTTCGCACACTAGCACGGTCATGGTCAGCTGCACTCGTTCTCGGCAAAGCTGACCACTTCTTCACCCTTTTTATCCCTTTCCACAATTAGCAATGACCATTTGTACACTGTACTTTCCTTCGTATAATTGCGATTAAAGGATTAAAAATACTCTTCTTTTAACAACGGAAATGTGACACAAGGACATTTATATTACATATGTAGGTCATTATTCGGTGAGAAGACGATGAGCAAAACATGCATATGCTTTGTCTTCGAATGCGTTTATTATTTGCGTAGCGGTACTCATCTCATTTATTTTCCTGTAAGACTTTTCTTTGTATACATATTACCTGCTCCGTGTATAAATACAATTATGAAGCATAGTACTGCTTCGTTTCTTTTTCACGATGTCGTGAGCTCAAATCAATGTCCCACATGTTTACAGGCTATAAACAGTGAGGAATATTGAAAACCTTACCTCAGGTTGTTTAGGATATGTTTAATTTTATATAAATACTTTGAGAATTCAATAACAGTGAGATGCCACGTTATTTCATCAATGTCCTTGTTATCTGCACCAAGAAAGAATGCTAACATATCATGGGCTTCCAACATCTCTATTTTAACATACATTTTAACATCAAAATTATCAATTAGAGTGGAAAAGAATACATCTCTCTCTGAAAGTAGAAATTCACAGTTTAAGATGACATGGTGATAATAATCATGAGCAAAAGTATTACATTTTGTACATTCTTTAGATATTTTGCTTCTGGATCCAATAATATAATGTATTTCTTCTCTAATTTCGGTAAAAAAACATTACAATGCTGTATAACACATGAGGAGTAAGTGTTGTGTGAATTTTAGAATATCGAATAGCTCTACATGTTCCTCGTGTGTAGTTATTTCATTTAACACAATCTTTCTCCACTTAGTCTTCGCGGGGATTTTCCCTGTGCCAACGTAGTGAAATACATAATGAAGAAAGTTATATTTCTTGGCTGTTGAAAGCAACACTCGACATATACTTTGTAAATTATCGTTATGAAAGTTAAGAGTGAAGATGATGCGCAGAAAACAGTTTTACAAATTGAGACACATGAGTTGTTGCAGAGATGCCCCAGCAGCTGTAGTCTACATTCATCTATATAGCCAACCATGCTCCAAAGTTCTAGATTAGCAAAAGTGGCATCAGTGGGGGAACGTTTGTCAAACCCTTGTACAATCCCGGGAAAGCAACGCTGGGTGCTTTCAGCTAATTCAAGATAGTTGCCATGCAGAGGAGGTAGTAATTCATTTTCATAAAAAACTTTGTTGTTAAAATAATTCTTTTCCATATCTTAATACTTGCATACTGATGTAAGTCACTACTATTTAGACAAACAGAGAGTAGGAATTAATAGTATGGCTTGCTTTTGTGCTGCTCTCTTCAATATATAATTTGAAAGAACGATTATTTTGTAGAACAACACCCGCATATTTCACATTATCAAACAAAGGTGTCATAATCTCCAAAGTGATAAGCATGCGTACACAATGATTGCTTCTTTTTATGAAACACAACAATTTTACTTGTTAATCGGCATTTGGATGCGTAATTAGCAACTGTATCTAAAGCTGTTTGTAGACATTTAGGGCTGTAACTGAGTAGTATCACAGCAAGTAATACGCATGGTAACCTAACATTATATATAACATATTCCTGTATCTAACTGCCGAAGCTCAGTTATGAGGTCATTATGTACACAAGTTAAAGACATGCTGAAATAACTCTACCCTGACCTATACCTTGTCTTACAGCAAATACATCAGATTGCTCGCCCTTACACTGAACACGCGCATACATGGAAGTATAACAGTGATGTAACAGAGACCACATTTTACCTCTAATACCAAGATGATAGAGTTTTACGAAGAGACCCGAATGCCATATTTGATCAAAAGCTTTCTCGTTATCTGGAAATGCTGTGTTGATACATGATCCCCTGTTAACATAACTTTGTACATATTCAATGAGGGTAAATAGCGACATGACAGCACCGTGCTCCTTCCTAAAGTCAAACTGCAAAATATCAGGAAAATTACAGGCATTTCGGGATGTCCACGTTTCTAATCCTCCTAGGAGAACGGATTGCTTCGTTTGTTCAGTTTATTTTCCCCAAAACACATTATCCTGTTGCAGCCTTGTAATATGACTACGTAGATTAATCGACATGTCAGAGACTCTGTGAATACATGTCATTTGGTGACGTGTTACATTATGCAATACACATGGCTAAGTGTTTTATGATACTGGGCCTGACTGCTGGCATACATTAGGTGAGACAAATACCATTCTGGGTAAATACCACTCATTGGCTACAAAATTAAATCGATATACACCAAAGGTCTTCCCAGGTGTAAAGTAACGATCCGGTATATTCTGTATCCGGCTGGTGGTAATACCCAATCACCTTAATGCGTATTTTTACAACAACGCTAAGTTTACGTTTTCCCTTTTTTTGTCTCGGCCATCGTATTGCACATCATACTAGCTACATAATGTTGTAAGATAAATGTATTTTAATGAACTTGATAAGTTTTAAGGTGAGATTTAAATGTTTCTACTGAAGAAGTCATTCAGATTTCAGGACAGGAAAGAGGAAAAGCACGTGATTTTAGAAGTGTTGAACAAATTCATTGTGAGAGAAGGGCGTCAGATGATGGGCGGATTCTGCGGCTGGGTTTGTAAAGGTTGGCGAGTTGGTTTGTTTGTTGTTTAACGCCACACTCAGCAATATTCCAGCTATATGACGGCGGTCTGTAAATAATCGAGTCTGGACCAGAAAATTCAGTGATTAATATCATGAGCATCGATCCACGCAATTGGGATCGATGACATGCATCAACCAAGTCAGCGAGCCTGACAACCCGATCCCGTTAGTCGCCTTTTACGACAAGCATAGTCACCTTTTATGGCAAGTATGGGTTGCTGAAGACCTCTTCTACCCCGGCGTCTTCACAGGATTGTTGCTGGTAGGGGAATAGTACAACCACTGTTCATTTAAATAATGCCATTGTACTTACACTTCTACTTAATTTTGTACTGCCACTCCATTGTGTAAGGCCATTGTAACTGCTGTGCAGTAATTTGTATTGATTTGTAAACCTAGTTAATTTGACGGTAAAATTTGTTAATTGTATTATATTCCTTGTTGTTTGTTCATTTCACACTTTTACATACAGACTTCTGGGTTAACTTTTTGTTTCAATTTGGAAGTCGAGAACATGGTTCTTAACGTCAACAATGAGATGTAGTTCCAGGTGTTATTCGAGTTTATAACCTTCGTCCAAGAAGGTTGTTCAGTGGCAGAAAGAGCTTGTAAAGTCTACTAACTAATTGAATTTCACTGTCCACTCATACATTAAAATGTTAGAAAACTTTACGAATCAGTTAGTTTTCACTTTACGGTGGCCTAACGTCCGGAGCTGGAAACTGTTTAGTTGTAAACAATATAATAATAAACTTTATAATATCAGCTTTCTGTATGAGAGAAATACTACTTGACATAAAGCAACAAAACATTGACGAACACAACGAATTTTAAACTTTGGTGGGATTCGAACCTGCAACCTCTTGATTAGTAGTCCGCCACGCTACCACCTGTTACGCACAAGTGTCCATTTTTCTAGTCACCATTAACTTGGTTATTTGTACATTTTTATGTAAATATTGTACCAAGTTCGTTGTTAGTCCTGGTGGTATATGTGTTATGCATGTGTCCGTGAATCTTATTTGCACATCTAATTTCAATATATATGGTTGACAGTATTTGTACAGGATAGGAGGCAGTGTTTATACAGTGGAGAAGCCTGTAATGTTTTACCCTTCTGTGTAACTGCATCTTAGACCTACTCAACTGCCTCCTATCCTGCATATATACTTGTCAACCATATAACCGTGTTAGAGCCTACACCGAAACGTCGCTCCTAATTGTAATAAAGAAGTTGTTCATCTATATATCTTATCCTTACTTAGTACTCCAACATCTAAATGCCTCTCAAAGAAGTTATGTTTAAAGGTTTTTAACTTCTAAACATGCTTGGATTATGGGGATGTTGTTTTTAGATGGTATTCAAGCTGTTAGGCGATAGCTCATTTCATGTGTTTATACTCTTTACGTGTTTAGAAAGAACACTTCAAATGTGCACACTGTTTAGGATTGAAACTCACTCCTAAACATGGCTTGTATGTGTTTACATTCTTATCACATTTTTTGCAGTGTGTTTTTTGTAGTGAATTATATTAATTTTATAAGTGGTATTTACTAATTTTCAGCATCTTCGTGCAATCAACCAGGCCTAATAGTAAATTCGCTGTTTACTAACCTTCTGGTCGCTGCTACTAATTCAGTTAGTAGAATTCACTTGACCTTTTTCTCAGTATTACTATCTACACTATAGTTTAAGTTACGACTTACTAGGCTGTCGTCATCCACGTTTGGGTCGATATTGGTTATGATGACCTCAGTTTCCTTCAGAGATCCTGCATTCGGGATGATGATGACCTCATATGGGTTGTCAGACCGCCTGATGTTGCCAGAAAACGGAGCCACAATCTGAGGAGATTTAGTTCTGTTGTTATGGACATCACTGTTACGGATTATCTGTTCCGAGTGAATTATTTTTTGTATGTTCGGATTCTTGGAGTCTTGGCACAGAATAAATAGGCAAATGGAAATTTTATTTTCCCGACCTATGATAATTTGTCAATGAAAGTTAATCATGTCGTAATACATGTACATGCTCTACGTGGACTTTTCAAAAAGGAAAAGATGAAAAACCAAAGCAATTTCTTTAAAGGATTGTGGAATATGTGACGGATCATCACTCCTCGCTTGACTTTGGCAGAGGTACTAGGTTGACCGCAAGGAACTCTGGGAAGGAGAGTGGAACAACTTTGGAACGAACGAACCAGTCAACATGAAGCAAACGGTATAATGTTCAGTTGGAATAACTGAAAATATTACTCCTTTCACCGTTTTAAATTTCAAGATAATAATTTGAAATTTCACGTTACAGAAGTTGAAATTTCAAGAAGAACATATTTTTATATCTCAGGATGTTAACTTATTAACTTGAAACTTCAACTTATTATCTTGAAATTTCAACTGATTATCTTGAAATTTCAACTGAATATCTTGAAATATCAACTGAGTGTCTTGAAATTTCAACTTATTATCTTGAAATTTCAAGATACTAAGTTGAAATTTCCAGATACTAAAAAAATGGTTCCGTAGATACATGTACCACGCGGCAGACTTTGCGAGCCGACTAGTCTTTGGTATTTTCCCCTCATTGCCAAGCTCCAGGCAGGGTAACAACAAGTACTACCTTTTAACCTCTTTTAATTTGATAAGACACGGCCGGGGATCGAACCATTGACTTTCTACTCGACCATCCGTCTACTGGAGGCCGTCTGTGAGCTTTAGGTATTGTGCCTGACGAGCAAACGCTTTAAGCACAAAACTACTTTGACACCTCTTCCTTCAGAGCTAAACGCCCACTTCCTTAATATGAGAAATACTTATTCCTTTAGATAAGAAATAAATCAATTCTGGTATTGATATTATCTTTGGAATCAAATTGTTAGTTTAGAAAAACAGGTGAAATACATGTACAATGCATCTTTTAAATATTTTTGTTGATAAAAAGTAACACACAAGTTGTTTTCGCTTAATATAAGTAGACGATGTTAATCGCCAAACGGTGCTCACGTCTTTGCCAGGAGATACGGTTACATCTATTCCTTTATGCTCGTATTCCTTCCCATTTTTCAATTCGGAGGGGTAGCTGCCACTTCCACTGCATCCTGCCCCAGCAATTCGATGGGTGCGGGGGAACTCCTTATGGCACTTGGGGCCGAAGACAAGGTCGATAAGGGAGCGGGCAACACGGTATCTGCAAAAGTATGACATCATACGTAGAAAAGTTACATTAGGCCAGCTACAAAATATCCCAAATTCCTATCTCAATAACTTCCCATCATAAATAAAAAATAATAAAGAGTCCAGATAAAAAACAATATGAAACACTAGTAGTCAAGACAGCGTTGCCAAAACAAGTATTGCTACTGGTTACACTAACAATAATGTAGGTGTAATTCAAATGTATACAACGACACCCAACTATGAAATATAATGAATGAATAATGCTAAGCCTTTAGGAAAAACAAAACAAAACAAAACTGAGCCTAATTAAGGATAGCGATATTACTAATCAATCAACAGCAATCATGTTTATTAAGTGTAGGCCTATCCTTACCCTGCCTTCAGAGCGTTGTAAGCTGTCTTCACGTCGTTGATTAGAGCTTTCACCGTTTTGAAAGTTTCCAAGAACTTCACTCCCAGTTTCTTCAGAGGTTCAAGAGGAGCCAGGACTTCATCAACAATGTCCTTCAGCTTGTTCACAACTTCATGTCTCAGCGCAGTCTACAACATTTGAACAGTATGGCACAATTTGCATAAATCATTAGTTCTAGAGTAACTTGCAAAACATTAAAGTGGTAAAAACAGATGTGAAACACATGTTCAACTTCTGGAAACGAAAACCTAAAAAATAATTTTCATTCGGAAATAGAAAATGTTTTCGACATATTTCGAACAATCGCACAAATGCTAAGTGATCTAAAAGATTCTTTGGTGTCCATCATACATTCATGCTTATATTTAACATATGTTCCAGGGCAATGGAGGCAAAATATATATCCATCTGGTCGGTTGCCTGGTTCACCTGGTGTATAAGCAATGAGTGAATGTTGTTCATTGGCTGTGAATAATTCAGTCTGGATAAGGCGAATCAGTGACAAATTTATTTGGAACGAGCCATAGCATGATGATACTCAATAAGCCGAGTACAGAGTCTGATAACTGATAGTCTGATACTTTATGCAGCTGTTGCGTCAAGCATGGGATACTGGGGGCCTTTTTTTCACTAGATTCCTGTGGGACAAGTCCATATTACAACATCCCATTTAGTGATGCCAGTGTCTTTTGGAAAAGTAAGATCTTGCTCTAGTGCATACAAAACATATACATGCTATCGAGCCACTCACAGCGTTAGTCTTCCCCTTGGAAAACTCCGCTACAGGGTCCCTCGTCCGGTTCATAACCTCGTTGATCCACTTATTCCCACCTTTCTGCAGTGTCGTCTTTGCCCTTGACCCCGCCTCCACTATCTCTATCACCTGGGAAGCTAGGTTCATCCAGTCAGGGGGCGTTTCTGTTGTAGCAGGTAAAATACAAGCGTCAACCCTGCTATTAGAAGTATTCTATTTATATGAAATATGTTACCTGTGTGTCATTGGAAAGACCAATGTGCTACAGCTTGTAGATGTTTACCAATTTGGTGAATCCCGCGACTGGGTATTCATGACATTGGTATACAATCACTTTAGGAGACATGGGAATCTTGTTACATAGATGTTTTTACTTTTTGGTGTAAATATTCACTTGGAAAAAATGTTAAGCGACCTCAGCTATTTTGTCATGAGCTTAGCCCCAAATCTATGGCATAGAAACCAAAACATGTGCTATTTCCTGAAAGGGTATTTCTTTGTCGATTAATAGGGTCAACAATCATGGCATCTGCAGTTATTTATTTATTGAGACAGTTATGGCTGGTACGTTGTAGCAAAAACAATGACCGTTATGCTCCCAACATGACTTCCTGGGACGATATTGTCAATAACGTGTATGACAGCCACATCCCCGGATGACCGCATCAGCCGTCCTCCTCATGGCCCCAGTCTCATGCTGTACATTTTGCCATCACGGTGTATTGCCTGTAGATTTACTACTGTAGGTACAGCTTCTGCAACTTGTTCCCCGCGGTGCTCCAGATGTGTTCCAGCGTGTTGAGATCTGGGCCAAGGGATAGTCGTTGTGGCATTCAACTGTGGAACTGAGGTTTTCCTCATCAGTTTGCCGATTTTTCTCTGCCAATCTTTTCATAACCAAATAGTGGTAACCAAACTGACGACTGACATCTTTGTAGGACATTCCTTTTAGCCATACCTATTATTCGCCTCCTTTCGCCGTCAGACCATGTATATAATGAAATAGCATAACAGTAGTGCATGTTAGTCAAGTGTATTTTTAAAAAACTTACTGGTGGTGGCAAATAATGCATTTTTGGTCTTGAAAATGGCATCTACAAGATTCTTTACTTCCAGGCCAACACTGAAAACCAAGATGCATCCAAATTATTACATTTCCCAAAATACAAACGATCTAAGACTTGATATTTGAATCCATAGCTTGGTGACTTCATAAAAAAAGATACTCACAGGATGACGTTACTAGCGACTGTAGAAATGGCCTGTTTGGGGTCATTGTTGAAGGTCCTAAAGCTATCAGCGATAGCCTTGATAGCCTGAGAAATCATCTTCCCTGCCCTGGGTATTATAATCGTCACTGTCTCCATCAGTTCCTGAAATGGACAGCATAGCAATGTTCATGTCCTTGTAGAAAAAGGTTCTCCTTCAGTTTTTAAATAAAAAAACCTAACAGCATTCAATCCCTAATCTTTCTGAAACATGTTGTGATAATTTAACTTTTTTCACTTCAGCAAAACCTAAACCTAGCAAGGAGCCATTTGTGTGAGGCTCTGATATATGCAAAATTACGTCTTTTAGCCATAGCTGCTAGCGAGTTTGAACTCGATTTTGATTCAGCACCAGACTTGTTCACATGGATTTTATGAAAAACCTTTGGGCTTTCTCGCACATTAAGCTCACACATACGCCGTTGTTAAACTGAAGTATTGTCTGAAGCCGCTTCCAACCCACCCATTAACTCATAGTACCCTAGGCACACGGACCAACTACCACCCTGCCTAAGTGATATCCAATTATGATAGGGTAACTTTCTGATACCTCAATTACGTTATATAAAGTACTTCTATATACTCGTGGACATGGCACTATAATAATATTTTACAGAAATTATGCTCAAATAGAATTATTACGGGTGGCGTTTTGACAAGGTATTCCAGAAAACACAAGTATTGTGGAATGACATACATTGTAAAAGCTGAGCACCGATGACTTGACTTCCTTGTAAAGATTTGTGATTCTCAATACAAGGTTCCGGGCAGGTTTAGCAAAGGGAGGCAACTGCTTTTCATCCAGCTGGCCAAAGGCTTCCATAGCGTCGGATGCCTTCTTTCCAACACTGACAACCTGTATCATACCATCCATACATTAACATTACCATATCACATTACAAATAAGGAAATAGTAGTAAAGATCCACATGTGGTTTGTTTCCAATGTGTGCAACTGTAATAAATATCCCAGTCGTTGTTCATTACGAAATATTACACGACTCAGGAAATAAGATTGTAGTCAAACTTGTCATGACATCTCCACATAATTTCACTTTAAACTCATGCCTGAATTTTCTGTTGAAAATATACTTTGCGAAACTTTGTCTTCGGAGGCGCACGAGAGCAATACCATTACTTAAAAATTCTTAGGACGTAATTTCACTCGCTGAATTAACTTCAGAGAACGCATATGAATATAATGCAAGAACGGACCGCCCCCTTAATACATAGGTAAATTAAAGCAAAATTTTATTAATGTTAAAGTTAACAAATATGTAGACATTGCATCGATGTATAGAGCGTGACAACATTTGTTCCTGAAAAGTGATCTGGGACCATGGTACCAAATTAATACAATTGTTTTTTTTACTTGCCCGTGAAGAGATCACCCATTTAATAAACCTACATCTGTATTACGCATTGTTTAATACCAAAACGCATGCTTATGTACTTTCGGAACAAGTTTCACGAACAAATATTGAAAGCTCTCAGCATCCCTTGGCTTAATCAACGACATTGCGTGTAGAGATGATAGATCACTGAGAGGAGCGGTTATCTCCCATTATTTACAATTGTCACACAAATGTCGCCAAGCTGGAGTTTTAGCACAAATGTTATTGTGAAACGTAATGATATGACTAAAAGGCAACTAATCTGTATTGAATGTATGGTTATTCTGTGTACAACATTATATATGAAACAATACGCTATTCTTTGGTGAATATATCAGATGTATATAATCTGAAATTGTTAAACTATCACTGTCAATAGACACTGAATGCGTTTTACAGTGAACATATTTCAGATTTTATGTGATATACAAGGGCTAGCTGAAAAGTTCTAAGCCTAAGTGGGATATCTCAATCGGATTGAAACAAACTTTTGCCACCAAGAAGTACAGTCATTCAATGAATCATAGACATTCAAGAACATGTAAGAACTGCGACTGTAGTGTTATTATTGTCTTTGTACCAGACCATCTTATGAACCTACACATTGAAATCACCAGAAATGGACAAAACTGGCTATAGGGCAGTCATCAAGTACCTGCACCTGAAAGGGCTAACTCCAACACAGATACATGCTGCCCTGGTCTGCACTTTAGGGGATGATGCCTCTTCTTTTTCCACCGTAAAGAAGTGGGCTGCGGAATTCAAGCGTGGCAGAGAGAGCCTTGACGATGACCCGCCTCCAGGAAGGCCTTCAACAGCAACCATTCCGGAAAACGTTACCCGGATGCATGACATGGTGATGGCTGATCGACGATTGACCACTCGACATATTGCCAGTCTTGTGGGCATCTCTCATGAGAGGGTTGAGCACATTATCACCAACAAGTTGGGAATGACAAAAGTTTCTGCAAGATGGGTGCCAAAGCTTTTGACAGCGGTTCCGAAACGTGTCAGATTCCTGACGTCCCGTGACAATTTATGCCGTTTTGAAGCAGATCCCGATGATTTTTTAGCCCGATTTGTAACCATGGATGAGACCTGGATTCAACCAGAAACCAAAATTCAGTTAAACAATTGAGGCATCCGGAATCACCAGCCCCCCCCAAAAGCCAAGTTGGTTCCTTCTGCTTGAAAGGTGATGGCTTCAGTCTTTTGGGATTCCAAGGGTATTCTTCTGATTGACTATCTTGGAAAAGGCCAGACTATCAATGGAAGAGTGAGTGAGTGAGTGAGTGAGTTAGTGAGTGAGCATGGTTTTACGCCGCTTTTAGCAATATTCCAGCAATATCACGGCGTGGGACACAGGAAATGGGCTTCACACATTGTACCCATGTCAGGAATCGAGCCCGGGTCTTCGGCGTGACGAGCGAACGCTTTAACCACTAGGCTACCCGACCGTCAATGGACCGTCAATTATATCAATGGAAGATATAATGCTGACCTACTGAGACAGTTTCGTGAAGCTATCAAAGCTAAGCAACGGGGAATGCTCAATAAAGGAGTCCTATTCCACCAAAACAATGCTCTTGTTCACAAATCGGGGGTTGCCATGTCAGCGATCCATGATTGTGCCTTTGAACTCATTGACCATCCCCCTTATTCACCCGATTTGGCCACGTCAGACTTCCACCTGTTTCCAAAAATGAAAAAGGAACTAGCCGGTCGCCAATTTCCTAGTAATGATGACGTCATTTCAGCTGTGAATGACTTTTTTAGGGTGGCCGAAGAAAATTTCTTCTTGCCCGGCATCCACGCCTTGCAGCATCGCTGGCAAAAGTGTGTAAACCTGGAAGGGGACTACCTGTAGAAATAAATGAAAACCATCGACTTGGTACGGATCTTTCACAGTAAGGCTTAGAGCTTTTCAGCCAGCCCTCGTACATGAGTTTTTATGTTGTGATTAATTATTAAATATGACCTCAGTGTTACCACAACTCAGCAGTATTACCTTCAAAGAAAACATGTGAATCGAAAACGTCTGATGCCATTGCAAATATGCAACATCAGCTACAGTACATCATTTCCTACCGAAAGATTATAGTGACGTGAAAATATTAAAAATATGACAAAATTAGGTTTCTTTGTGTTGGCGAAATTTACCCAACTATTTGTTAAGTTAAAATGTTTCTTGTTAAATCACTAAAAGTTGCAATTTCAAGTTTTATTTTTGTTTATTCAACAGGACCAAAAGGGGTACACATTTTGATAATGACCCATATGCAGTACAGGATTACCTGTCTACTTTTCTTGGATCACTCCATTCTAATACTTAGGTAACACGGGGTAGACCAGCCAGTGCCTTCACCCATGACCTATGTTGTTTTAAGGTGTGTGACAAATGGGACGTGTAACTAATGGGAGGATACCAGAGGAGCTTATACACACTCGATGACCCCAGCAAGCGTGTTGCTAGGCTGACGTCACATGGCATTGTTTCGCCGATGGATCTAGCAACAAAATTCCACAAATTACGTCAGCAGGTATTGTGACGTGATTGTAAACTTTGTGGTGCAGGGTCCCGTTCCACAAGGCGATCGTACTGTAGAGCAAAGACTGTAATAAGTCTATGTAGATGTTACGATAACCTTAGCGCTACGATAACTTTGTGGAACGGACGCGTGAATTCTAAAGGTGGGCCGTTGAATATTATTAAATTAATACGTTTCAACTTTGAAGTATTACCCTTTTAAACTCAATTGGATTATGCCGTGGATCGTGTAGGTGTCAGCCTATTTACACATGACAGTATAATTCTAAAAACGTTATATATGTCAAGCAATAAATAAAATAAATAATAAATAAAATACTAAACTCGCTCCCGTGTAAAACCAACTTTATTGGAACTCGTGAATAGTTGGGGTATTTGACCCGCTTTAGCTTGTCAGATACCACAACTATTGACTCGTTTCATAAAATTGGTATTAAAAACATTTTCATAATCACATGACATTTCTACTAAAAGTTTGTTGTACAGTTCCGACAGTATCATGAGCTTGTAGTTATTAATCACTATCAAATAGTGATGATATCAGGTGTTCTAAAAAATATGTGTATCCTTCAAAGGCAAGTCAATTGTTTCGCCTGAGAAAACACGGGAACGTATGGTTCAAATCAAACCCAAGAGACGAACACTCAACCTTATCTGGCAGCTCCTCCAGTGATTGCCTGAAACCATTTATCATGTTAGCAAACGAGAAGTCTCCTCTGACGATACTAAAAAACAGGTCCAGACTTTTGCCTAGAGCGCCAGCAGCACCACCTTTAACAGCATCGTAGATCTCAACCAGTCTCTTGAGGTTGTCCACGCCGTACTCCTGCAACAGGGAAATGTAGAAGTGCACAATTTAAAGTAAACCCTAAAAAGATATCTTTGCAAATCACATAATTACATGAATAAGACATATTCTCTTTTAAACATGTTGTCAGATTTAATTTGATCTGATATTATCCTTGTCGGCATTTTGACTATGAATTGTCTTCCCATCACACTGTAGGGCACCAGACCTCTTGACTAATAATGCAACTGAGCATATACATATAATAATGATTCAAACTAGAACAGGACGCTAGACATTGAAAACATTATGGGTAAACTCTTCAAATGGTAAACACAAGAGAGAGAATTTCTATATGATGAAGAACACCGCGTTTCGCTGTATATGCTTACTCCTTCATTAGGTGAATGAATACTAGGACTCAACGAGCATATAATATGTACACATGAAGATAAAAGTAATAAGATAGTAAAGGTGGAAAGGTTAACGAACGAAGTCAGCAGTTAATTAGCGCCCATTGGTGATTAGAAATGGACAAATGGAAGTCAGGAGTTCAATTAGAATTGTATAATAAGCTATGGTCAATTAGAGGCAGGGGTTAAGTACACTGATTTGTAATTAGCAATGGACAAATGAAAGCCAGCTGGATGAATAAGAGTAGTTGGTAGCCCCGTTCTGGAACCGCTCCAGGCTTCTGATTGGGCGGTTTCTGTGATGACGTCACTTCCGGTTTCGGTTTTGTCACGTGCCTGCGCATGCGCGAAGGTGGCATTGTGGGTCATGTGCGCGCATCCAAGATGGCGACACTTCCGTTTCAGGTGGCGCGTGCCTCCAAGATGGCGGCATTTCCGTTTCTGGGAGGCGTGCCCACATCCAAGATGGCGGCACGTCCGTTTCCGAGGGGCCATCTCCCCATCCAAGATGGCGACACGGCGTCTCCAAGATGGTGGGAGGAGGGAGGGCGGGATGACGGGTAGGCGGGAGGAGGGAGGAGGTTTTTTTGTTTTTTTTTCGGTTTGATGGGTGTGTGGGTGGGTGGGTGGTTGTGGTGGTGGAGAGGGTAGTCAAGGCAATGGATGAAAGCGTTCTTTTGGGAGAGATGGGTGGCCCTGAAAAGGGACGTTTTGTAGAAGAAGTAGATTACTTCTTCTCCCACAAAGGGGCTGTTCTACAAAGGCAGGGATGGCCTGCCACCTGTCTCCTGACAGGACACTTACTGGTGTGGCATAGTCGCCGCACGTAGGTGTCCTTCAGGACAGTGTTCCAATAGATGCACTGAAATGTGCCATCGTGTTCCCTTGTGCCATGCGCATAGACTGGCAGGCACCCTTTGTACTTATTGCATTGCCATGGAGGAATGTGTTCCAAGTCCCAGCGGCAGTCTTTGCACAGTGTCAAAGGGTGCGCAACTGAAACCAGATCCAAATCCCAATTTTCTTCATTAGTTTGCATGATGATGACGATCTCATGGAATGCAGTGTGAGTGGCTTCGCTCTTGTTTTACAGAAAAGGGACTGACACCCTGCTTCCTGATTGGTCCAACACGCAGCGCACCGATTGGTTCCTTCCGGTGCCTGGTCTGAGTCTCAGTTTTCAAAACTGGACCGACCCTTGTGTCTCTTTTTCATAGGAAATGGATTTTACCATGGGAGAGAAAGCACAACTCGGCTCGGGTGCTGTCTTTTGATTGGTCGGTGCTGTCTTCTGATTAGTCGAAAACCCAAGCCTCTGATTGGTCAGGTTTCGATCCTGTTTTGGGGAAGGTTTGTCTATAAATCAGACGTTCAGTCAATCTTATAGTGCAGACGTTCATCAGGCACTCATCGCCATTATGACGAGCAAGCAGAATGATACGTACCATTTGCAGAGGAAAGACACAACTCGACCCAGATGGTTAAGAACCATACGTATCGTTTGACATTCAACCCAGACTACTTGGAAACCGTACCCCCGGACCGCGTCCCCATTGAACTGCCGTCTTTATTTGACAGGGTGATCGATGACTGTTATCAACAGATGTCAGGCCAGAAGCGGGATCGTACTTGTCAAGATATCGACCACCCCGCTGTGAACACTCCCATACGGATTCCCTTTCGGCGCTTTGAAGATCTTCATTGCCTAGATATCTTGCATGCTGTGGAAAAAGTCCAACAGTCCAACAATGCCACCATGGTTGTGACTTCAGTACACGTAGCAGATCCCGACAGGCTAGGATCAACGACAACGTAGACGACGATCCTGATGGAGAAGCTCAACTCACTTCCATGCAGCGTGAATGTAGTGCCTATCGCCACAACAATAAGCTGTAACAGTGGTCAAGTGATGTGTCATCTCTGTTTCAGGGAGGCCATAGACTGTACCTATTTTACTGATGAGGCGTCCCAAACATGTTTGGAACCTATTTGGGTCAATATGATGAAGGACCATATCTTATGGTGACCCCATCTTCACTCGAAGAGGCTGAACATGAAAGAGGAAAGGTTTCGCGTTGTTGTAGGGACATGCAAAGCACTCCCTCCTCAGTTGTCTTTTCGCATTTCCTATGTATCTGGTTGTTCTTGTTGTTCATTATTAAACATTGATTGATTGAACTGACTCTTTGTGTCTTGATTGGTCTCGAATTCAATAGGGTGCTGAACCGAGGGTAGAGGCTGAGTTGAGTTTGTCAAGTTTGTGCACATGCTTGTTGAAAAAGTAAAGAATTAAAAGATAGATAAAATAGATAAAAGAGAAAGGACATGCTTGAAAGATCAGCTGCCTGGTGTCAGTCATCCCAGTACTTCACATATGACGTCAAGTGGTGATAATGATAATGATGAAGAGGTCATTTCCTCCCCGTCCCCTGTCTGTCATGTCTGTGCACATGTTCGTTGTAAAAGTTAAGAAAAAAATATAGAAAAAAATAGATAAAAGAGAAAGGCCATGCTTGAAAGATCAGTTGCCTAGTGTCAGTCACCTAGAACACAGGATAGAGTCTTATCACATCGTCAGTGACACGCAAGATTTCATGGAGTCCACATCGTGTTCAGACTGTTGTAAGACATTTTCTAGAAGAGATGTCTTACTTCGTCATAAAAAACACGTCCATGGCTTATCACCAACACTATCACCTATGAGACCAGAGACATCACCGTCGCCTCCGCCGCTGCCGCGGTGTATGGGGAAAAGACGGTGTATGAATGCCATGCCACCATCAGGGATGTCCCGATACCGAGTGGGTTTCTGAAAAGGCGAGAGAAGAAGGACGAGGTGACCGTGTTATCTGTTATTGCTGCGGTGTGACACTCTGCCAATGGAAAGCCACAGACAAACCCTGGAAGGAACATCTGAAGCACGCCAAAGTCCCCTGCGAATACTTGTGTGTGTTTTGTCCTGATGGAGAAGTGAACGAAAAATACAGACGTTTGTTGTCTGAAGAAGCACAGAAGAGAAGAGTGGAGTGTCTTGTTCACTCCTAGTGACAAAGTTTCCTGTTCACTACGTTTTTAGGAATGTACAGACGTACAAACCCTAGTGGCTTATCACCTAGTGTTCACAAAAAATCACAGGTACGCCCCTAATCCTGTGACTTTTGTTTTGTTCTGTTGGTTCACGTGAGCGGGGGATTAAACAGTTGAACAAACATAAGTGTTGTGTTGTCTTTTTTTTTAGGATGAAGAAAAATAACAAAATAGGATCGAAATGCACACCCAAGAAAAAAAAGGATCGAAGTCTGACCAAACAGTGACCGAGCTCATATCGTGCTGGGCTCTGATTGGTCGAACTGAGGTTGTGCTTTCTCTCCCATGGTAAAATCCATTTCCTATGGAAAAGAAACACAAGGGTCGGTCCGTTTTGGAAAACCGAGGTGCAGACCAGGCGCCGGAACGAACCAATCGGTGCGCTGCGTGTTGAACCAATCAGGAAGCAGGGTGTCAGTCCCTTTTCTATAAAACAACAGCGAACCCACACACTGTATTCAATGAAATCAACTATGTCGTCTCGACACAGCTGCATGAAGTGTCAGACCGACAGTCACAGTTACCTGTACTGCCCTGAAGTGACATGTACCGAGTGCCACACTCAAGGTCACCGCCACTATGTCTGTCCGAGGATAAGCAGTCAAGATAAGCAGAAAACTCCCCAGGGGCCATGTCAAAACTGTCAAGTCGTGGGTCATTTCGCTGCAGATTGTCCAGAATCCAGTCGAAAGAAGACTTCCCAGGGCCCATGTTACAACTGCCAAGTCGTGGGTCATTTCACTGCAGATTGCCCAGAGCCCAGTCGAAAGAAAACTTCAGCAGCGCCGTCCATGTCGACACCGGTGACACCAGTGACACAAGTGATACAAGTGCTTCATCTCATAGAAGTCATGCATATCGATGTCCGTGCCCTAAAAGAATGCATCGCACATCTCCACGCGGGCATCACACCTCGTCTAGGGAAAAGAAAACGGGACAGAAGCCCCTCAAGAAAGCACCCTTCAAAGCGCCAACGACGTCATCAGTCTGAGGAGGAGGAGGAGATGGAGGATGAAGGAGATAGATAATCTGAGCAAAGTGACTAACGAATGGGACCTGCTGCTCCACTGTTTTTCCAGTTTCCAATCGTTTCCAGTTTCCAGTTTTTCCAGTGTTCCTACATTTTCCTGCTGTTTCCAGTTTCCAGTTTGTTTTCCAACGGCCCTTTTTAGGGCCACCAATCACTCCCGAAAGAACGCTTTCATCCATTGCTTTGACTACCCTCTCCACCACCAACCCCACGCATGACCCACAATGCCCCCTTCGCGCATGCGCGGTCACGTGACGAAACCGAAACCGGAAGTGACGTAATCACAGAAACCGACCAATCAGAAGCCAGGAGCGGCTACCAACTACTAATGAGCCTTGAGGGATAGATGGTGGCACAGATTAATTAATCGATTCCCAAGTCCCAAGTTCTAGGTTCCCTGGTCACGGTTCATGGCTGGCAAGTATCACCCGATATCAATGGCGTCTTGTAGTTTCATTTGACGTCAGTTGTTGTTGGTGTTGGATAGGACTTTGGTAGCTTTCCACATGATGGTATGGTCTTGGTTCTGATGAGGGCCCTGGTAGGGTGTGGTGATTCTGAATAAGTGATTGAGTATGGTGTTACAGTGCTAGAAATAGTCTTCACACATTTTACTCATGTGGGGAATCGAACGTCGGCTGCGAGCGAACACTTTAACCACTGGGCTACCCCCACCGTTTGCGTCTTGATTTGGAGTTCTTGGGGGAGAAGGGTAACTGTTGAAGGGAGTGAAGGGTTTCTTGAGAGCATCAGGATGGCAAACAGATTTAGCACGTCGGGTGAGGCTGGCGATGATAGCTTGTTTTATCTTGGGATGGTGGCAAGAGTTGAAGTGGATGTACTGGTCTATGTGTGTGTGTCGTCGTGCGGTACACTGATGTTCTTAGGCCATCATCTGTGGTTTGGAGGTACACGTCTAGGAAGGGAAGTTGTTGATTACTTTCGGTCTTCATGGTGAACTGGACTCTCTGGTGTTGGGTGTTGAGATGTTTGAGGCGCTCTGTCAGTCGTTTGGTGGGCTATGGAGGTGAATATGTCATAACATACCAGCAGAGGGGATTTACTTTGTTCTTCTTAATAAAGAAGTTCTATTAATGCTCTCTCTTATGTAGGAAAGATAAAAGGTACACGTTACATGTACATGTTCACAGGATGTGGGTAATTCACTACATGTACTCGTTATCCTGGTTTACCATAAACGTACAAATTGTGGTATTCCTAAATTGCAGTGTGAAGTCAAGAGGAATAGTTTAAAGTGAGAAGACTTAGGATGATTTTAACAGTTTGGGAGCATTTGAGATATGCCATTTGAGATGTGCCTGTGGCATTTGAGATGTACCATATCTTAAATGCCACAGACAAAAGCTGTTTTTTAACTTTTAACTGATCAGACTAGATCACACAGAAGTGCGATTTATCAGGCTGCTTTGTCAAGTCACCTGCAGCATGTTAAGGTTGTAAGCAGCCCCTCCCTTGAAGCAGATCCTCGCCGAAAAGAAATCCTGGTTGATGCCCATGAAGCCAAGGTGGATGCGGGCGTATGCTTCATCGTGGATGTTCACTCGCATGTGTCCACTCAGAGGCGCTGTAACATGCAGTGATCATATGCAGTATATGTGGATGAAAATCATTTGTTCCATGATTTGGAGGAACATGAAATACACGAAATGTTTCAAACTGTCCTTATGTGGAGAGATAGATAATTTGAAAACTCGGAGATCCCATAACTTCATTTCCAAGAAACACTTCAAACGAAATGATTTAGTTTGTGTTCAGATTGATTTGGATTGCATTAACACTAATTCCATGTTTGGTTATTCGGCCAACGTTTTCAAATGTCAACCTAACATTACAATTAATGATGTCTAATAATCTGCAATGTAGTCTGAATCACGTAAACAATAATAAATACTTATTAGCGATTTTATTTTAAACAATGTTGACACAAAATAACGGTGAAAACATGAATGTCATTGACACGAGCATACCTATTTTGAAGTCTAAAGCATTGTTCATGGTCAGTCCAAAGGACACTCCAATGGTTGTTGACCCAAGCATCTTCTTCCAGTCTACGCTGGGTGATGGCAGTTTGAACTCGATCTTCTCATCAAAGAATCCCCTTTTGTGTCGGTCGTGTACGTCAATGTCCCGCCGGCCAACATAGCGAGGGTCCACGTGAAAGAAAGATCCATTTATGGCTCTGAAATGTATGTATACACATGCTCAAAAGTTAAGCGCGACCATATTCATAGTCTCTTTATTTCACGTGTGGGAATCAGAAATACGAAATATGATGATGTATGACTGAATGAGGCTTCCATAGTTTCTTGAACCCAAATTTGTCCAGATACCACAAGGAAAGCATGCTTTACGTGTTGCTGCAGTTCCCCTACCCTATAGCGAAATTCAAGTTTCAGACACGTGGTTGCATTTTGCTCCTGTGTGAGATTCCCCTTCCAATAGAGGTTGAAAATCAGCCATGGTGAGGAGAAAGTTAACGAACGCTGAAAGATGGCAAGTGATAGGCATGAAAAATGCTGGCATGTCATGCAGGGCTATTGCAAGACAAATGGGTCGTCATCACAGTGTTATCACTCGTTTGATTGTCAAACATGGTCAAACCAATGATGTCAATGACAGGCATAGGTCTGGTAGGCCAAGAAAGACCTCTAACAGAGAGGATAGATGTCTTTTCAGGATAGTCAGACGGAATCGTCTGATATGGTGTCGTGCCCGTAGTCGATGGAACTTGGCGAACTGGAGAAGGATCCATTGCTCTGACGAGTGTCGAATGCTGCTACGAACTGTTGATGGTCGAATACGTGTTTGGAGGCAATGTTACACTCGTTTTGCACCAAGAAACATCAAGAAGACCTTAGCATGTGGCGGGGGGTCTGTCATGATATGGGGTTGTGTTTCCTTCGGCTGCAAAATTCCGCTGGTGACAATTCGTGGAAACGTGAATGGCCAACAATACCACGATGCCGTTCTTCGTCCAGTGGTAGTCCCTCATTTTGACAACCATCCTCTTTAGACAAGACCTGTTTATATGGACGACAATGCTAGACCACACAGATCTCGGGGAGTTTTCGCTTATTTGCGTCAAGAAGCTATTGCCACTCTTTCTTGGCCGGCCTGTAGTCCGGATCTTTATCTGATTGAGCATCTCTGGGACATTCTTGGCCGGAAAATCAGACATCGTGATCCCCCAGTTCAAAATCTCGCTGGACTTGAAGCCGCACTTCATGGAGAATGGATCCGTTTGCCTCAGAGAAGCATTCAACGACTTGTAATGAGTATGAGGCGTAGGCCTGAGGCTGTGGTCAATGTCCGTGGATCATACACACGTTACTGACGTTTCTGTCTTGCAATAGACTCTGCACTCCTCAGGGTGTCTATGTGACACCCGATATGGTCTGCTGATATCATTCAATGTTTTCTAATCCTTCAATTTCTGGTCTTCGGTAAAATTCCTTTTTGCTCATATTCTTTTGGAACACAAGATAAACTTGCTTTGGGACAACTTTTGCATCACATGAGGTTTACATATACGGCTTGTAACAATCGTACATCTCGTTATAATAGTCATCATTAAGTGCCAAAAGTAACAGCTCACAAATATGGTGGGTGGCGCTAAACTTTTGTGCATGTGTATATATGTCAGGTTTAACATCGTGTTGAACAATTTTTCAGGTGCGTATAATCACATCGTTACAAACTACATCATCGCCCCACTGAAGTACTGGTCAACGTGCAATCCATATATGCTGGTACAAGAGGTCAACGGGAATGAGTTGTTTAACACATAAATGTTTTCAACATGTACCCTTCTTTTCTGTACATGGGAGCGATTATTGCGGCCTTTGGGTGGGCCTGGTATTGTAGCAGAGCTTCATATCGGACCTCCTCGTCGTCATCGTACAGGGCTGTCTTCAACATCAGATGTGCTGCCTGCAACAGGGGATATATCAACCATACATACATGCTGTCTTCAACATCAGATGTGCTGCCTGCAAAAGGTGATATATCATTCATACATGCATAACTGCCTTCAACATCAGACGTGCTACCTACAACAGGGAATACAGCATGCAGACATACAGGCTGTCTCTAACATTACATGTGCTGCCTGCAACAGGGAATATATCATGCATACATAGAGGCTGTCTTCAACATCAGATGTGCTGCCTACAACAGGGAATATATCATGCATACATACAGGCTGTCTTCAACATCAGATGGGCTGCCTGCAAAAGGTGATATATCATTCATACATGCATAACTGCCTTCAACATCAGACGTGCTACCTACAACAGGGAATACAGCATGCAGACATACAGACCGTCTTCAACATTAGCTGTGCTGACTGCAACAGGGGATATATCATTAATACATGCATTACTGTCTTCAACATCAGCTGTGCTGCCTGCAACATGTGATTTATCATTAAGACATGCATAACTGTCTTCAACATCAGATGTGCTGCCTCAACAGGGGATATATCATTAATACATGCATTACTGTCTTCAACATCAGATGTGCTGCCTGCAACAGGGAATACAGCATGCAGACATACAGGCTGTCTCTAACATTACATGTGCTGCCTGCAACAGGGAATATATCATGCATACATAGAGGCTGTCTTCAACATCAGATGTGCTGCCTACAACAGGGAGTATATCATGCATACATACAGGCTGTCTTCAACATCAGATGTGCTGCCTGCAAAAGGTGATATATCATTCATACATGCATAACTGCCTTCAACATCAGACGTGCTACCTACAACAGGGAATACAGCATGCAGACATACAGACCGTCTTCAACATCAGCTGTGCTGACTGCAACAGGGGATATATCATTAATACATGCATTACTGTCTTCAACATCAGCTGTGCTGCCTGCAACATGTGATTTATCATTGAGACATGCATAACTGTCTTCAACATCAGATGTGCTGCCTCAACAGGGGATATATCATTAATACATGCATGACGGTCTTCAACATCAGATGTGCTGCCTGCAACAGGGGGTATATCATTAATACATGCATAACTGTCTTCAAAATCAGATGTGCTGCCTGCAACAGGGGACATATCATTCATACATACATAATCGTCTTCAGCATCAGATGTGCTGCCTGCAACAGGGGATATATCATTCATACATACAGGCTGTCTTCAACATCAGATGTGCTGCCTGCAACAGGGGATATATCATTAATACATGCATAACTGTCTTCAACATCAGATGTGCTGCCTGCAACAGGGGATATATCGTTAATACATGCATAACTGTCTTCAACATCAGCTGTGCTGCCTGCAACATGTGATTTATCATTCAGACATGCAGACTGTCTTCAACATTAGCTGTACTGCCTGCAACAGGGTATATGTCATTCATACATAGAGGCTGTCTTCGACGTCAGATGTGCTGCCTCAACAGGGGATATATCATTAATACATGCATAACTGTCTTCAACATCAGCTGTACTGCCTGCAACAGGGGATATATCATTCATACATAGAGGCTGTCTTCAACGTCAGATGTGCTGCCTGCAACAGGGGATATATTGTTAATACATGCATAACTGTCTTGAACGTCAGATATGCTGCCTGCAACAGGGGGTATATCGTTAATACATGCATAACTGTCTTCAACATCAGCTGTGCTGCCTGCAACATGTGATTTATCATTCAGACATGCAGACTGTCTTCAGCATTAGCTGTACTGCCTGCAACAGGGGATATATCATTCATACATACAGGCTGTCTTCAACATCAGATATGCTGTCTGCAACAGGTGATATATCATTCATACACGCATAACCGTCTTTATCATCAGATATGCTGCCTGCTATATCATTAATACATGCACAACTGTCTTCAACATCAGTTGTGCTACCTGCAACAGAGGGTATATCATTAATATATCTATGTCTTTTACATCTTTAACATCAATGTACTATCAACACCACGAAACATATAATTCATACAAACATGACTGTCCTCAACATCAAATTTGATAAATACAACAGGGGATATATTCTTTGCATTTATTATGCCTCAATGTGAGATTGACCAATCAGGGAGAAGCACTACAAACCCCATTTGAGCCCGTATACCGTCAGTAAAAATCCAAGATGGTTGTTATTGACCTAATATGAGACCGTATACCGTCAGAAACAGCCTGTTTGAATTTTCCAACACCAACCTCACATATTTCACATATTTCATTTATTCTGGCACGGAAATTCGTTATTTGACACTATTTTGTGTTTTAATATCATTAATTGTGATGTGCAGTAACGTTATTATTAAAAAATATAGAGAAAAAAACTTACAATGGAGATCACTGAGTTACAAATAGCAACGTCATAGAACTTATTATACGATGACGTCACAAACAAGAAACGTGACGCAAGTTACGTCACATAGAAATAGAATATAGACAGCAGCCGGTCGTTAGGGAAAAGCGGACTGCTATCAAGTTACAATGGCCCGCAGATTTCTGATAACATTCGGGCAATGTTTTGAATTCTATCCACTTTAGCTATTATTCTTGTTTGAACGTTCAGATTCAGTGCATTATATATTCCATTGATAACGTTTGTGATTACATTAAAACATTAAATCGGAAACATATGTATTGGTCCTGTCGTTTATACCGGATGTCCCTGTCAAGTTTTCAGTTTGACATGACTATTGAGATACCAAATAGTGTAAACCTTTCGGCATCATAAATTCGTTATGGTGTCTTTAGTTGCCGTAAACGGTGTCAAATTAGGTTAGCAGAAATATATTGGGCGAGGTCGTCCTTTACATTGCTGAGACACTTCACATCCTCGTCTTGATTCCACCAGTTTGTTTTCATAATACTTCATGCATTAAAATATTCGCGTCTGTTATTATTGTCTTATACAATATTGTGATACACCGAATCCTAAGATCCATCATCAATCAGATTTTAAATGTTGAAGGAGTACAACTGGGAATTGTCATTGTCAAAAAATATGTTCAAATTTTCCTATTTGAGCTGCTTCTATATGACCACGGAACTTTCTTATCGCCTTGTAGTACGCAAGATACTTACATGTTTAGTTTAAGTAAAAAAGATACTCAACATTCTGTAGTAAACAGAACCAAATGTATAAAACATTTAAATCATTTATTGAAATACCCAATCTTTAAAAATTAAAAGTTGTTGACAAATCGTTTTCAATACCCCTTCGTGTCGGTACTTCCTCATGGCGTGAATCCCCGCTCGCTTCACCCACTGAGAGTTGGTGGTGTTGACATGTGACACAATCATCTCAAATGATTGGTCGAGACCGGCATTACCCAGAGATCCAAGCAAGATAACTCTCCAGCGGTCGTCATCAAGGACTTCACGCTCTGTCATGGTTGACCGTTTCTGACGGAACAGCCAGGGATCTGGAACAAGTAATTCTCACCTGGATCATGAACATGAACTCTGTGAGTTAGTGATTGTGGTCAGCAAGCGGCAGAAATACTCAAGCTATGCCACAGTCTACAAAGAATCGAGTTACTCACAGGCAAACCAATGACTAAGATAAACAACGGCCCCCAGCATAGGGAACAATGTACGAACAATCGTGCGTGACCACTGAATTCTCTCGACATTCAGGTGGTACTGGATACCTATGTTTACCCGGAAACCCTTTGGTGTGCACATTGGGAAGTTCTTTGTCTGCACTCCAGCACCCTGCAGTCGACCAGCCTTTTCATATGAAAACAGCTCATCTAAATTCTTAATTTTACTTGTCTGCTGACTCGATATTATCGTGCTGAACAACTTGCTAATGACTCAGTAAGAGTGGTCCTATTGTGTTATCTATCAGAACATGTCGTGCAGAATTGTACAGTTTTTGACTAGCTGTAGATTCGAATCCAGGATTTGATGTGTTATGAACACTGTGTTCACGGGTACCAACATGGTAACTATATATGGTTAACCACACTTTAAGAAACCGCAGATTTGTGAATTCCTCCTTGAAATTTCACCGATCAAACCAAGTTAGGTTCCATATCTTCTGGTCAAACTGAGCATTCACGTTAGTTTCTGCACGCACGCACGGACGCACCTACGAACTAGTATCAGTGGATGTGCTCTAAATCAAACCGTTATACTCACCGTGCAATCCGAGCCAACCCTCCAGCTTCAGGACAATATCAACCGCTTCTTCTTTCCTCCCAGCGTCAAATAGTTGCCTAGCAACCACCCCGAGCGCCAGCACCATCCTGTGATATGTTTCATGTTCCTGTAAAGCCACGGGGGCCTTCTCGCGCTCAAAACACAGGCTCTTCAGTTTCGTGATGATATTCTGCCGAAAGGATAAAACAGCAAAAATCTAAGATACGTTTTTATTCCTCATCTGTTTGGGCTTCCTCTTTCATTATCCCTGTGGATGTTGATTTACTTTTATGAGGCACATTGATATGAATCTGCGTTGTGCGAGTAATGCAGTTACGCAGCACTGGGTCTAACTTGGTCAGCGCATTGTTGTGCAAACATAAGGTTATCAAAAGTTTATCAACAGTAATAAATATCCATGGTGTGATTTATTGTATTAACATATATATCAAAAGTGTAAATTCTACAGCATGAGTGAAACTGCCAACTTTGTACCTGATTCATTCACAATTTGTAACACGAGCCTGTAAATGTTATACCACACACAGGGCCTGTTATACAATGTACGAAACACATCTCCACTTACGTCTATCGGTGGTCCATTAATCGAGATGATGTGGAACACGAGCTTGTATTTGTTATATCACACATATTTACCATTACGTATATCGGTGGTCCATCAAGTGAGATGATATGGAACATCAGCTTGTAACTGTTATATCACACATATTTTCACTTACGTCTATAGTTGGTCCATCAAGTTAAATGATTTTGAATATGAGCGTGTAACTGTTATACCACACACATGTACACTTACGTCTATTGGTGGTTCAAGACAGTGGTTCAAGTGAGATTATGTACAACATGAGCTTGTAACTGATATTACACACATATTTACACTTACTGTCTATCGGTGGTCCATCAAGTGATATTATGTACAACACGAGCGTGTAACTGGTATATCACACATATTTACACTTACTGTCTATCGATGGGCCATCCAATGAGATTATGTGGAACATGAGCGTGTAACTGTTATATCACACATAGTTACACTTACGTCTATCGGTGGTCCATCAAGTGAGATGATGTGGAACATGAGTCTCTTCACAAGGGAGGAGTCGGGTCTGGATCTGTTGAGCACAAGGTCCAGCAGGAGCTGCTGAGACAGGTCTATGGTCAGACTGGCGATAGCATCTAACATATGGTTCTGGTCCTTGAAGGTCTTGGTCAGTCTGAAAGAGATGGAGGGAGGGATTGAAAAAGCGTCTCATCACTGTTGTTGTGAATCATAATTTTAAAAAAGGCTTTCTGACAGTCGTTACTTAAAACATGGAGGTTTACGAAATACGCACAAATGTCTGACATGACGATACAGGGAGCATTTGATAACATTTTGGCGGGGATTTCTAATGAGAAAGGAATTGCTTTTGTTGCTGTTATCTACAATAGTTGATAGGCATGCAATCCATTCTGTAAGTTGTGCCTGTTATACGAATTGATACGATTCACAATAATCGTTATGAAAGACCCACGAAACCTGTCTTTCTGGGCTTTCGGCCAAAGTCCGAAGTCCTGTAGGTAAGAATGTATATTTAGATATCGAAGGTCGCTGTGAAGTTAATTTTGATACTTTGTCACCATAGTGACTTGTCATTCCATATAGAACTCGCATCTTAATTGGGATCTTTGTATACCTTAAATGTGAGAGTTTTATTAAGAGGAGAATAAATGTATTTTACGATGATAAATTATAAACTTGACTTTCTGCATAATGTACATTACGAATGTTTTTATGCATATGCAGAAAATTGATGTTACCTCTGCTTTCGTAACTGATGCCACATACAATATTGATTTATATAATATAATTTAGATTAAACTGTTTTAATCATTGCTAATCAAGTACTTTTAAAGGGGTCTATTCACCTCGGCCTGTCTGTCAGGTACTTTTCAGCAAGGAGAACCAACGTCTGGTCAGGTAAGTCGCGGAGAACAGATAAAAGTTGCGTGAAACATCTGTCCAACTTCCTGGATCCTGAAAATAGACCACAGACCTTTTAAATAATCCATATTCTTCCCTATCACAGAACACTTCTGAAAAATAACAGTCGTGGTCACGTAGTTAAGCTTGTATTAACATGTACATGTGCGTATAGCCTTGAATGCTACAAGGCAGTATTTGGATGGATTTGCACATTGTGAAGACCCCTAGACATATATACACGTAACTGTACCTTTTTCCGGCTCGTTTCGCATGCACGTGAGGTTCCCCTTCACATATTGCAGGTGTTCCTCCACATCGATTGCTGGCTTCTTGCGCTTCACCTGGAATACCAACGTACAAACGTTCAGGATGCTGCGTTCCAGTACGTGCGTTCATTGTTCAATACGTTTTTCTATAAAATATACACAATTCAATATACAATATTTATTGTTTTCTAATTTTTATTGGTTCCTTTGTCTATCACCATTCTTTTGATTGACATAAGATATTAGCATGAGATATATTATAACCCTTGGTGACCAATTGTCTTAAACATCTGCACATAATGCATTAAGAGGATCACGATCTTCTTTTGATATGCTCATTCCTTTAGAATCAAGATAACAAGATCACATAATGAAGCAAATGGGTCAGTCATCTAACTTGAGGGCTTTTGATTCAATCAAACGTTTTTATTTAGATGGACGTAAATATGTGCTGTGTGCAAATGGCTTCCTAACATTTTAACACCTTACAAAAATGTTTGTTGTTTTAGATTGACGACAAATTGAGATTCAAATATGGCGCAAGTTGCAGATGATACAGATCCCCTTTTTTTCCTATACAGTTGATCAGAATTATAGACCCATTGTTTACTTGCATCTGTAAATTGTATTACCAGTAGTTGAGATATCATGACTAAAGGGGTTTCACTGTATATTTAAAATTAAAAAAATATATAAATAACATTTTGTTAATGTTAAACCGGTAACCTCTTTGATATGAATGGACGCCCTGGTGATGTCTGTCTTTGGTCTGCTGGGAATACTGACAACCTTGTGTTTGCTGAGGAATACCAGCTTTCCTGAGCCCTGTGCTGACATCTCGGGGTATTCTGGAGACAGTAATCAGTTAGATTTTCATATGTTACGGTTTCAATACACCCTTGTTCACAGCATGAAAATATGTTTCTTCTCAGATTATGATTAAACAGTTCCAAATGAGTTCCAAATGAAGATTCAACGTTTTAGAAAAGGGGGGTGCACAGCATTTTGAAAACGAGGCGCTCTGTAAAAGAATAAAATGGAAAATAATTCGTGAAACAATTTGCCACCAATTTATCAAACAATTGTTACATTGGCTTAAATCATGTCCCCAGGAACTTCAGTTTTATAGTTTTTATTCCTCGGCATTCATGCCTGGATCCAGACATAAATTAATTGAATATGTTGTTTTAATGATGTAGTAACTTCTAGTTTATTGAATTTAGTCTTAGTTGGGGACTATGTAAGTAACTGTGGTAAAAATGTACTTTTGTATCAAACTAAAACTAAAAAACACAGTTGAAGTTATTGAGTTGAGTATACAATATCATACAAGTATTCAAATTCGCAGAAGCGTCTAAAAGATGTATACTGCCGTTGATTAATCGTGAGGGTATTTCGTTAGTACATAATGCTTACTCATTTCTGTGAAGTTGTTGACCGCCTTTACGGGACGACTGTTTTCAAACGGGTTGTATCTGATGGATGATGAGAAATATTATTTAGAGATTATTATGAGCCCGGAGCCGAAGTGCAGGTGGTCAAGAGTTGATATGGGGTACGATATGAAACTGCCATATAATAACCTCTTTGTCATAAACCATAATATCAAATTGTAAAATGTATTTATTTGCAAGTGAATGCAATACATTTTCACCTTGTTTGGAAGACAGTGCTACGGGTAAGCGAGCCGAGCCGACGAGCAGACGACAGGCTAAGGGACGTAACTCGATACCGGACTGATATCGATCGCCCTTTCAAAATGCATTGACAAGTCACACCAGCCATGCAGGGAATGTAATACGGGTCTGGTAATTACACCCCTGTGATATGACGATCTCTGCGTTGGCTCTATCACCTTCTCCAGTCTATGTTACCACCTTCAGTGTTCTCAGCCCGTATAACATACATGTACGTTGTGAGCAGTAGTTCAGTTATAGTGAGTGAGTGAGTATGGTTTTACGCCGCTTTTAGCAATATTCCAGCAATATCACGGCGGGGGACACCAGAAATGGGCTTCACACGTTGTACCCATGTCACACGTTACATACATGCATGTATGAGACGTTTACCACTTTAGTAAAACACATGGTCATCTACATGGTGCTGTCAAACCAAAAAAACATCATCAGGGCGAACCGAGATTCGAACCCATGATAACTTGGCACAACTTAAGGATGTGATAATATCACCATCAAGGGAAATATTTAACATTCTCACCCTTCTGCAGTCTTATGCATGACCTGTAACTTTTCCTCCACTTGAATGGTGTGCATAGTCCCAAGGGCAGAGTCGTAATACAAGGTCTGAAAACATGTTATCGATATACAGTCAATGACAACAAAGAGGGTTAAAGTTATTGTATGTTCGCGCTGTGCCGCATCAAGGCTCAAGTCTGTTAAGAAACGTAGGATGATAAAGAGACTGATGAGGCGTTGAGTCTTAGTCTGATTCTGTGTGCATATCTGAATATGAATGTGAGCCTTATTCGGACTCTGAGGCTGAGTCTCAATGATTCATCCTTGTTATACATGTTACATTATGTATATATCATCATTGTCCATTAGGGGTCACGGGTGGCCTAGTTGTCTTCGTCGCCGCGATTCGCTGTGCAGAGTTGTGCCCCTTGGACATGCCAGAAACCTATGATTGTGGGTTCGAATCCCGGTTCGCCCTGATTATGTTTCAAGGTTTGTCAGCACAATACCCGTGCTCGTGGGTTTCACCGAAGTGGTAGACCTGCATCACTTCGGGCTTTCCTACCAGATTAAGCTGACACGCCGTGATATAACTAGAATACTGTTAAAAACGGCGCTAAACCCAACTCACTTACTCATTGTCCATTATGAAATTTCGTTTATATTTATTATCGAATTACAGTAGATGTTTAGAATATTTGTCACTTTCAAACCATCATTCGGCAGCGGCAGAAAATATGTCCTCTACCTTTGTATAATCTGACGTCGCATGCTTGACGGGGTGGTGTCCCGGGTGTCTTGTCTTGGTGAACACGTGACCTGTGAGAGTCGGCCGCACAGTGTAGGTGGCGTTGTGGGGACCTGGAGCAGGAGTGTTTTTAGATACTTGTAAGGAGCCTCTATGATTTAAAAAATATGATGAAACTGTCAATTATTAACAGAAAGGACAAGTATCAGTCAAAGACCCATACAATATCTCGGTATATGGCACGGTATCACTGTCCAACCTCGTGTGCATGCCTTTCAATAAAACATATAACCGCCATCAAGATTTTGTTTTAAGCACTTCTCTCATTTTGTTATATGGAATTATGTACATGTCTCCCTATCAGTATGTCATGTACTGATACTAACTTTATTTAAATTCGACTTCTTATCGTGACTTTGACAACGGTTCCACAACCCCTTGGCCTCCAACCTGCACGACTAACGACCCATCCCAGACAGCCAACCCACCAACGACAAAAACCCATCCACGGCATCCGGTCTCCATCCACAGCCTCCAACTCATCCACAAGCAACGACCCATGCCAGATACCCAACCCATCTTTTACCATTTGGCGTCCACGATCACCAACCCATCCACGGCATCCAGTCTCCATCCACGGCCTCCAACTCATCCACAAGCACTACCAATGCCAGATACCCAACCCATCCTCTACAATTAACCCGTCCACGATCACCAACACATCCACGGCAACCTACACCAGCCTCCACTCCCACCCAATCCCATCCCTGATAACCAAACCCTTCTCCCGCCTACGGCCCATCAGCCAAAGTCTGCCCCAGTAACCCATCCATGGTCACCAACTCATCCAGAACCAACAACTCACCTCCGACACCCAACACATCCCCAACCCCTAACCTTCCCCCGATCCTTACCCTCACTTCCAGTCTCTCTCACGTGATAGCCCCAGCCGTCGTCAGTTGCATGGACATGGTTCTGAAAAGACAACCAAGAAACTTAATGTTCGTGTGATTAATACATTGTACCCAGAATATATGGCGTGAGAGAGTGAACGTTGTTTTGCATCATGATCAGTTATATATTTAGTACAATCAGTATTGCCTGTAAATAATCGAGTCTGTAGTCACTCTGAAAACCGGTGGATGATATAATAAGCAACCAACGATGCCGAGGTTTGGTGACACATTATCAGCCATGCCATGCATTACAGCCACCCCAGTTCCTTTTCAGTCGACTCATTCAACAAACAGGGACCTGTGGGGAAAATATATTTCCTGAAACGCAGAGGTTGTTAGGTTAGATGCATGTGATTGGATCCGGAGAAGTGGAAGTTACACACAATTATCTCTCAATATTGGACGTACATTGACTAGCATGCACTGATAACCACATCCTCGAACTTTATATAACTGAGTGAAAAGTTTTGTTTTAACGCCAATTTGAAGAGCCTTATTGTCATTTCAATATGGAAGACAGGTGACGAAGGTTGTAGACGAGTAACGATCAAGGTTTGTCATCGGGGTGAATCTGGGGTTCAAACACATACATTGTATTCAGCAGATCCTGGAACGGCTTAGGGACGCAACTCTTCAGCTTAGATCACTTTGGTCCCCAAAATATATGTAGGCTTATTTTTTGTCATATCTTACTGACCTTTCTGTTCTCTAGTATCACTAAAATGTATTGACGTTTTGTAGGTAATATTGCGTCGGGGTTGTTAATATTCTTAATAAAAGGAGGGGGTGCTCGGAAATAACTTAAAATTTCCATAATTGTAGAGAGTTTCTGGTACTAGTTGTATGAGAATAATGAACGAAGTGGGAACACATAACAACCGGCACGTAGTGAAGAATGACAGTAGATGTTATGACCGCCAACAATCGTGATTAGGCATACAGTGTACACGCTTCATGAGCAGAAGTAGAACGCAGGAGGCAATAAAAGACACAATTAAAGTTTCCCGGACAACATTAATTATTGCTCTCCACGCGATGGGATTTGGATACACTGCACATGGCGATGACCGACCCGTTTTCAAAGCTCTTATCTATTCCATCATTTTCCAAGCAAACATAAAGCAGTGCATATCTTAAATTGCTACCCTGTCAACGCATATCTAAAAAAAGTACAATAGCAGCAATATTTTGAGACCACCCCAGCTCAGATGACGTTTGCACCTGTAAGAATGCACAGTCATCACCTTGGGATAGGTGTTAGGTAATTACCTCAGGCTAATAACAGTGCCAGTTAGGACAGGCTAGATCGGGTAGATTCGCGATGTTTTGATATATGCAATCATCATAGCCTAATGACTCTTTTTATTAGATGAATCCCGAAAAGCACATATCTAGCATTTCCGACTGTAATTTAACATTTATAGTTCATAATTCCCTACTTTAAAAAAAATGTATATTAGGTATACGATGTTTGCTGATTCAGTTAAAATTCTTCATGTATGAAGAAATACATCTTGCTGCTATTTCCCTGTCCTCTTACGACGATGTATATATTTCGGAAAGAATAATGCCTGTATTGACAAATGTGAGGATTCCTGGTTAGAATAGGTCTATGCTGATCGTAAGTGGTCAAGGTCGCTGACTGTGTGGTATCGTCCCCGACGCCAGGTATCTTTACACATAATATCAATTGCTAGTTGTGCCTTGTTGGTAATATTTACAGACCGCCGTCATACAGTTTAACAGGTGCGTCGTTACAGCACGACGTTAACGAAACATAAACAAACAAACATGTAATACTGTATCGTCGAGCAGCGGAACAGATATAAACATCTAAACTTCATGCTCCCACAGTGTAGTGTGACACAGTTATTTACACAGGTTATATACATACGAGGCCTAAACCGACCGCAGTGGGAGGTGCTGTTTCCTGGACACTCAACGCCCAAATCTTATACTTACGTAGTTGGATCAAAGGCTTCAACTGTTCATTTTTTTTGGAATAGACCCCACGCTGCCACAGTTTGCCTTTGCTAGCTGTATACGAATGGTGGCGGTGTCTAACGGAATCGGATGGTCAGGCCTGCTGACTTGGTTGTTGCATGTCATTGTATCTGATCCCGATTGTGGATTGATGCTCATGATCTCAATCTCTGGATAGTCTGGAACAGATTCGATTATTTCCACGTGGTCTGTGAATAATCGAGACTGGAACAGATAAACCAGTGGTTGGCAGCATGGAGAACGTGTGGCACAGTGCTACACATTCAGTCCTGCTACATGTCACCACTGGCTCCTCGTTAGTCCCCTCCTCTAACACTGGGAGACTGAGAGATGCCTGATTTGAACTTTAGGAGGCAATATGTGGGCGAGTCATTACCTCAGTGGCCTGGTGTAGACGAGACGCGAACATGGCGGCGGCTCCCTTCTTCATGGCAACAGCTTCATCGTCGTCGTCGGGAGGGTGGTAGACGCGGAGAATCTCGCCATGGGGCGTGATCACAAACGAGAACCTGCGAGATACAGTTTCAATGTAGACATGAAGATCTGATATATGTCATGGTCAAGCCTGACACATCTTGAAGACATGAGTTTTCGGGAACTGTAAAAATATTATTTGCGATTGTTTGCATTTATCCTGTCTTCTTTAAGACGTTGTCTCACCTTCACGAAAGGTAGGAATTACAACGTCCTTCCCCAGACTGGAGGTGACGCTACACCGCGCAGGATTGCTTTACCACGATGATAGCTGTAAACCTTATGATGCAGTATAAACTCACTTTATCACTCCCTCCCTCCCTCATTCACCCATTGCCATACTCTTGCTTTCTAGACACGATAAACACCTTGGATATATATTACATTTCCGTCAAAGCCCAATACATTTCTACTTCAGATCACTCCTGCAATGAATATGGGCGATCATATATTAACACGTTTACACGCTTTTTGTATTGTCTTTTACCATTTTGAGAAGTCCAAACGGTGGTCGATGGTGTCTGAAAAGAAACAAGAAAAAAAACTGTTTATACAGTAGATTGCGGATATTCTGTAACACGACAAGAAAGGCAGTATAAACCTTAAGGAGAAGCTAATGCTTCGAGACAACCGTGTTCGAGATATATGTTTGGTTAGCAGCTGAATCATTCGGCTTCCCCTTTCACAGCAACAAACTGAATCATTCGACTGCCACTAACACAGCAACAAACTGAATCATTCGACTCCCCCTTACATAGCAACAAAGTGAATCGTTCGGCTTCCCCTTTCACAGCAACAAACAATACAACCTGTATTGTATATTGTCTGTCAAATATTGTGTATCAAATAACTAATGTTACGTGCCATGTATATTCGGCAACGCCTATCTGAGGCATTCCGTGTTCTGTCATCCATGTATCCCCAGACTGTAGCAGCGTCTTGGGGCTTGAGTAACATTCCCTTCACTATACATAGCCAATAATAAAGACACACATGTCTTCCTGGTTGATGTTAAATTACAACAAAGTGAATCGTTCGGCTTCCCCTTTCACAGCAACAAACTGAATCATTCGACTGCCACTTACACAGCAACAAACTGAACCATTCGGCTCCCCCTTACATAGCAACAAAGTGAATCGTTCGGATTCCCCTTTCACAGCAACAAACTGAATCATTCAACTGCCACTTACACAGCAACAAACTGAATCATTCGTCTCCCTCTTACATAGCAACAAAGTGAATCGTTCGGCTTCCCCTTTCACAGCAACAAACTGAATCGTTCGTCTGCCACTTACGCAGCAACAAATTGGATCGTTCAGTTCACCCTTACAAAGCAACAAAGTGAATCGTTCGGCTTCCCCTTTAACAGCAACAAAGTAAATCGTTCGTCTGCCTCTTACACAGCAACAAATTGAATCGTTCAGTTCACCCTTACAAAGCAACAATGTGAATCGTTCGGCTTCCCCTTTCACAGCAACAAAGTAAATTGTTCGTCTGCCACTTACACAGCAACAAATTGAATCGTTCAGTTCACCCTTACAAAGCAACAAATTGAATAGTTCAGTTCACCCTTAAAAGCAACAAAGTGAATTGTTCGGCTTCCCCTTTCACAGCAACAAATTGGATCGTTCAGTTCACCCTACCAAGCACCAAAGTGAATCGTTTGGCTTCCCCTTTCACAGCAACAAATTGAATCGTTCGTCTGCCACTTACAAAGTAACAAATTGAATCGTTCGTCTGCCACTTACGCAGCAACACAGTGAATGGTTCGGCTTCCCCTTTCACAGCAACAAAGTGAATCATTCGGCTGCCACTTACAAAGTAACAAATTGATGGTTCGGCTGCCCCTTTCCTGGTTTACATTAACTTTGGTGAATAGCCCCAGACTTTCATCAGACTGTACCTATGTCTTGCCTGCGTTTAACCGTATTGGCGAGTGGGGATAGTATTAGTAGCAGCAGCAGCAGCAGCAAAAGCAGCAGCAGTAGTAGTAGTAGTAGTAGAAGTAGTAGTAGAAGTAGTAGTAGTGGTGGTGGTGGTATTAGTATAAGTATTAGTATTAGTAGCAGTAGTAGTAGTAGTAGCAGCAACAGAAATACCAATAGTAGTAGTGGTGGTAGTAGTATTGGTATTAGAAGTAGGTATTAGTAGTAGCAACAGTAGGAGTTGTAGCAGCAGTAGAAGAAGTAACAGCAGCAGCAGCAGCAGCAGCAGTAGTAGTAGTAGTAGTAGTAGTAGTGGTAGTTATGGTAGTGTTGGTGGCAGTAGTAGTATCAGTAGCAGTAGCAGCTATAGTAGTAGTGGTAGAAGTAGCATGAGCAGTATATGGAGATGCGGGGAAAGGGTAGAGTATAGTAATGTGTGCTAAACTCTACACAACACGTGAGGTTGTTCAATACAACCTGTATTGTATATTGTCTGTTTTGTGCAGTGTATCAAATAACTAATGTTACGTGCCAGGTATATTCGCCAACACCTAACTCAGGCATTCCGTGTTCTGTCATCCGTATATCCCCAGACTGTAGCAACGTCTTGGGACTTGAGTAACATTCCCTTCACTATGAATAGCTAATGATAAAGACACGCATGTCTTCCTGGTTCATGTTAAATTACATAGAGCAAACTCAGACTTCGTAACCCGTGAAGATCCGGGGTAGAATAGGTCTTCAGCAAACCCTGCTTGCGGGATCGGGTGGTCCGACTCGCTGACTCGGTTAATACAAGTCATCGTATCCCAATTGCTCACAGACTGCCATCGTATTGTTGGAATATTGCTGAGTGTGGCGTTAAATGACAAACAAACAAATAATAACTGAATTAGTCGTAGTAGTGGCAGTGGTGATGATAACAGTAATTATTATTTGTTTCAATAAAAGTGGTAGTAGTAGTAGTAGTAGTAGTGGTAGTAGTAATAATAATAGTAGTAGTAGTAGTAGTAGTAGTAGTAGTAGTAGTAGTAGTAGTAGAAGGAGCAGCAATAGTAGTAGAAGTAGCTACCTTCTGTGTGTTTGGTCTTCAGCCCTAGAGCATACATCTTCACGTAGACCTCTTGTCCGCCCCCTCTATCACCAACGTTGATGTAGCCGACCTGAATGATAGACACAAGATGATGACAGGAGGATGTACAGGAGGAGTTTTGATTTTTTACTCGTTACTTCGATTATGTTCTCAAAATTTCAACTATTGTCTCGAAATTGTTTTAAGTAAACTTGAAATAACGAGACAATAATCGAAATTATATCAAGGCAGCCTTTTTTATAATCGAGTATAGTCTAATCAAATTCAGAAACACCTAAATATCTAAGACGGCGAGAAGTATACTTGTAAAACAAGAACAGTGGTAACGGTCTATGACCTGCGTCACTTCGGACTTTCCTCCACATTTTAGCTGCACGCCGGTATATAACCGTTACTGAAATACTGTTCAAAGCGTTTCCCCACACTCACTCACTGTTTGTCATAACTCGATTGATAACTCCATGCATTCTTACATTCGTTACAAAATATCACCTTGCCTAACACATAAGAAATTGGATATCACGTGTACTTGAACAACAGGAGTCTGTTTGCCCTAGGATACACCTGATCAGACACGTTGGGTAGACGCAAGACAACTTCCTGCTAGTTACGTTTCAACTGGCACCCTGAATGCATTGGGAGGTAAAATACAGAGCTCGTGTTGTATAGCGTAATAATGGGGCTTGTCCCGGTCCACAAAGAACAGAACAGAATAGAACAGAAGTTTATTGTAGAGTGAAATTCACAAATTTTAACGTCGCAAGGGCAATTTTCCAGCCATAGCTCGACGATCCTATGATATTTAATTATGTAAATAATGTTAAACCTTTTTTACAGAACTGAGCCAGTTTTACTAGAATGGGTTTGTATGAACATTTCATTAATTGATTGTATTTTAGAGTTGAGGGATATTTAGTATAGTATGCCGGAAGGTATTGTTTTCGAAGGTTATTTAGTCTTGGACATACTAATAGAAAGTGAAATTCATCTCCAATTTGGTCGTTACATAAAGTGCAAGTTCTCTCTGTTCTCTGTATGTTAAACCATCTGCCTTTCTCAATTGGTAGTCTATGATTTTTTCTCAGTTTAAGAATCCAGATTGCTTGTTTAAATGGGAGAGATAATAGATACTCATCAAACTGTGGTTTGTCTTTTAGCATTGTATAATATTTGCCTTTAGATGAAGAACAAGCCTTGACATTCCAGCTTTGATAGAAGTTGTCTATTAAGGTTTGTTTAATGTTTGTTTTAAGCCAAGAGAGATTTAGAAAAGAGTTAGTATCGAAGACAAAATTCAAACCAGTTTCATATAAAATTCATCGCGATCGTGATGCTGCAGCTGTCCTAAGTCTAAGGCTCTATAGGGTTACTTTGCCCTCTTGGATCAGGAAGAATAACACTCATAATAACATTCTAATTCTAGAATGGGAATACATTTCCGAAAGTTTTCATGTAAATTTGCACCAGGTGTAGGTTTAGGTGTATATGTAGGTGAAGGTGTAGGTGAATGTGTGGGTATGGGTGTTGGTGTGGGTGTGGGTGTGGGTGTGGGTGTGGGTGTGGGATGTGGGTGTGGGTGTGGGTGTGGGTGTGGATGTGGATGTGGGTGTGGGTGTGGGTGTGGGTGTAGGTGTAGATGTAGGTGTAGGTGTAGGTGTAGGTGTAGGTGTAGTGTAGGTGTAGGTGTAGGTGTAGGTGTAGATGTAGATATAGATGTAGGTGTAGGTGTTGATGTAGGTGTTGGTGTAGGTGAAGGTGTAGGTGTTGATGTAGGTGTTGGTGTAGGTGAAGGTGTAGGTGTAGGTGTTGATGTAGGTGTTGGTGTAAGTGTAGATGTAGGTGTAGTGTAGGTGTAGATGTAGATGTAGGTGTAGGTGTAGGTGAAGGTGTAGGTGTAGGTGAAAGTGTAGATGTAGGTGTAGGTGTAGGTGTAGGTGTAGGTGTAGTGTAGGTGTAGGTGTAGGTGTAGGTGTAGGTGTAGATGTAGATATAGATGTAGGTGTAGGTGTAGGTGTTGATGTAGGTCTTGGTGTAGGTGAAGGTGTAGGTGTAGGTGTAGGTGTAGGTGTTGATGTAGGTGTTGGTGTAAGTGTAGATGTAGGTGTAGTGTAGGTGTAGATGTAGATGTAGGTTTAGGTTTAGGTGTAGGTGTAGGTGTAGGTGTAGTGTAGGTGTAGATGTAGGTGTAGGTGTAGATGTAGATGTAGATGCAGGTGTACTTTTAGGTGTATGTGTATACGTAGGTTTAGGTGTAGGTGTGGATGTGGATGTTGGTGTAGATGTAGGTGTAGGTGTGGGTAAAGGTGTATGTGTACATGTAGGTGTGGGTGTGGGTGTGGGTGTGGGTGTGGGTGTGGGTGTGGGTGTGGGTGTGGGTGTGGGTGTGGGTGTGGATGTTGATGTTGATGTTGATGTTTATGTTTATGTAGGTGTAGGTGTAGGTGTAGATGTAGATGTAGATGTGGATGTGGATGTAGGTGTAGATGTAGATGTAGATGTAGATGTAGATGTAGATGTAGATGTAGATGTGGATGTAGATGTAGGTGTAGATGTAGATGTAGATGTAGATGTAGATGTAGATGTAGATGCGGATGTAGATGTAGATGTAGATGTAGATGTAGATGTAGATGTAGATGTAGATGTGGATGTGGATGTAGGTGTAGATGTAGATGTAGGTGTAGATGTAGGTGTAGATGTGGATGTAGGTGTAGGTGTAGATGTAGATGTAGATGCAGATGTAGATGTAGATGTAGATGTAGATGTGGATGTAGGTGATGGTGTAGATGAAGATGTAGATGTAGATGTAGATGTGGATGTAGGTGTAGATGTAGATGTAGATGTGGATACAGATGTAGGTGTAGATGTGGATGTAGATGCAGATGTAGATGTAGATGTAGATACAGATGTAGATGTAGATGTAGATGTAGATGTGGATGTAGGTGTAGGTGTAGATGTTAGGTGAAGGTGAAGATTTAGATGTAGGTGTAGATGTAGGTATAGGTGTAGGTGAAGGTGTAGGTGTAGGTGTTGATGAAGGTGTAGGTGTATGTGTTGGTGTTGATGTAGGTGTAGATGTAGGTGTAGTGTTGTGTCGGTGTAGATGTAGATGTACGTGTAGGTGTAGGTGTATACGTAGGTGTAGGTGTAGGTGTAGATGTAGATGTAGATGTAGGTGTAGTTTTAGGTGTAGGTGTAGATGTGGATGGGGGTGTGGATGTGTGTGGGTGGGGGTGGGGGTGGATGTGGATGTAGATGTGTATGTAGATGTAGATGTAGATGTAGATGTATATGTATATGTAGATGTAGGTGTTGGTGAAGGTGTTGGTGTAGGTGTAGGTGTAGGTGTTGGCGTAGATGTAGGTGTTGGTGTTGGTGTTGGAAAAGGAAAGGGCCCTATGGAGATGTCTGTGTTTAATTGCTATTGTAATATTAGCCAACTAAATGAGAATTCCAATGTGATGTGTGCCTGGCTGATTGTGTATCACTGAACCCCATGGGGTACCTCGATGCTTATGCTATCAACCTCTGGTTTGATAAGACTGTTCTCGATTAGCAAAAGGCTGCCTTGACTGCTGAATGGACAACAAAAAAGAAATTCAGTGAATGGAATGTTTGGGAGATCAGTTGATTTATCGACCATTAACTATGATCAAGCGTCGACTTGATTTGAGAAGAAAGGCCGAAGTGACCTATATCAACGACATTTTTGGAAATTGAAATGAGTTTGGTTAAACGCCGCTTTCAGCCTAACTAAGATATATTATGGCAATCAGTTTTACCTAAGAGAAAATGCAACGTCATGTCACAGACGCTCATCACAAACATATTGGATTTACGATTCAGGTATTCAGGTAACTCACGACCAGCAGATCCTTGCACGACTAAGGGACGCAACTGATCATAGCGGACGTTAACACGTTCCCTCCAGAAGTACACTGTTCAGCTGCGCCTACAGTCAACAGCTGGTGATGTGTTCCGACCCTTAAGACTTGCGTCGTGGTAATTTAGACATGGTAGATTATTAACACTCTCTGTGTATTTAGCATTCACAATCTGTACATATTTATACAGAGCTCATTTCATTCACTAACCAACCTCACTCACATACTGTTAAATGTTTTGTCAATGCTGTCTCAGTTGCAGACTCTAATAACTGACAGATGTAGAGGGCCCTTTAAGGTAAACGAATACTGAGAAATGGATGGAGTAACTGTTTACACAAATATGAATAAATATAAAGTAATGCATAGTCGATAAATGAACTGACGGAAACAATTAGCATTCACACTGGCCTGGGGACGACTATTCTGCTTCATCTCAACAAACCGACATCCGGTGTATTTAATGTCATTACTGCAAAGGAATACCCGGTGATGCACGGGTAGATTTGAATCTAACGTCAATCATTTCCTTTAGGCCTATTCGCTTATGTCTTCCTATTAGTATATTTTGATTATGAAAACGCGGAATTAGAAAAATAAGCAATGTGGAAATAAAATAGGACTCAACAACTCACCTTGGCTAACACTTGAAAATCTCCAATGTTTTTCACACTTGCATTGGGATCTTACTTGTACTGGTACTCAAACCCCGGTTCAAAGTTAATGAAACTTGAAGAAGCACATGTCAATAAAACAACTATTCCACAAATTGCCGGAAAATGATTTCCCGGCATTTTTTTAAGAATAAGTCCTTTTTTCTATTTTTGTGTCGCGTCTATATGCTTCAGCGATGTCTTACATGACTGCACAAAGTTGCAGCTCAATTCTACACACATGGACATGTGCTGTGTGATTGGGTCAGGGAAACAAGGAAGTTGATTTATGTGTAGATATAGTTGTCACGGGACCCTGCAGCACGCTGTTTTATTCAACTAATTCTGTTACAAATCTCTAGGGAAGACACGACAAAAACTTAAATGATATCAGTCTGAACATGTGCTCACCATCAATGATCTTATTCATAGCGGCGGTTGCGCTCGACACATCATCTTAATAATAGTACAATTCCAACTATGTAATGAGCATGTGTTTTTATGAATCACTATCAAATAGTGATGATTCTCCAGCA